CAATAAAATATTTAACTTTTCTTACTTGTAGTGTCTCTCAGTTATGAATACTTTTTACTGAATACTCATTCTGCCTTTTCTGTGTGTATCATTTTTTTATGAAATGCAGGGTAGTTTTTAAAATTGATCCACTTTGTCCATTTTTCACATTTAAATATTTTTACTTTAAATTAATAATGTATGATTTTAAAGCTATTGACGTATTCGTTACATTTTGTTTGTAACGATATCGCAAGACTTATCAAACACAATCTATTAATTGGCATGTGATATTTTCAAGTGGTTACCAAAAAAAATAGTAATATTTAACATCATACCAAGAGATATTAGATCGATCTCTCGTAAACAAATTTACACGTTTAATTTAAGTGTGTTTGAAGTTTGTCTGAATGTTGTCACCAATCGACATGACATATTGACTAATTTTAACAAGCAAAATATCAACTTTAAATGTTTAAAACATTATTTTTATATTTCAAATACATTTAAAAGCTCACAATTTGAAGCTCAATAGTATCGAAAAATTGAACTTACTGTAACTCAGCAAAAACAAATAATTGATTAAATTTAAACATTGCATTACTTCAAAAAAATTAAGTGAAGATTTCATGACGATTGGTGACAGCAAGCAAACTTATTTCAGTCTCACTTAATTAACACACATAAATTGGTGTCGCTCATGGAAAATGGGGAGTTATTTTTAAAAAGTGTAAATATATATTTAATTATTTTTTAACCAAAAATGAATTAGTTTGAATAATTTTGAATTGAATTTACTGTTTAAGATGATGCCTCTAATTGCCAAACACTAATTAGCATTAAAAATGTTTTGCATTATAAAACCGAAATGTATGTTTGGAGCTTACACTACGCAGTCTGTATATTTCGAATTTAAGAAAGTTTGCAACTAGATATTCCTAAAACCATTTTAACATTCATAATTATTAAAAAAAAATTATTAATAACTTTGGTCCTTATAAACTTTAAGGAAGGTTTATGTTGCTTCAACAAAAACATGTGTAGAACTCCAAGGGGAACCTTTTACCAAAAAACTTCATGCAAATCCTATTGGTCTCATTCAAAAAATTTGACTCTACGCTATAAATTTTACCAGCATTTACAGCTTTAGGCTGTCGAATTACAGCTGTATTTTAATCTTTAATTCTTAAATAATTTTGTTATTAACAGCTGCAATGTTAGGAGCAAAAGGTGTAGACAATGTTTATTTACAAAGCTTTTCTTATCATTCTTTAAATCATGTTGTTATCACTGGCAGAATATAAGAGAGAAACTTTTCGTCATAAAGATTTTATTATTAATTAAATAATAAAAGTTGACTCAAACTTTTCGGTTATAAACTCACATGCTCATACAGTTCGTTTGAATGATAGAACAGCTTAAGTACCGTATATTTTTCATGGTCAATGAAAAGGAAAAAAAGTCGGTAATGAACTTTCTTGGAACTTGTACATAATGTCGCTTTCTATCAATCAATATTTAGTGTTTTTATTATTTATAATCTAATTTCCTATTCTAAATGGATGTCTGTGTTTTACAATAATAATTCGTTTGGAGATAGCTTTCATTTATTTTTAAATCGAAAGAAATTGAGTGAAATTTGTAAAATATTTCAGTGTGAATTTTCCTTGATATTGAACTTTAAATTGTCACTTTTAAACAGTTTTTTTTCCTTAGTTTCAATGATGCACATAAACACAACCTTTAACAAAGTGAAATTGTGTAATCTCTTATCGATAAACATGAGAAAATGTCATCAAATTTCAAAACTTATTCAAATTATTTTTAAAAAGGTTTATAAAAAAAAATGACTTTTAAATGGCACAAAAATTAATTTTTAAGTCATGTGATCATACATATATTGTTTTTTGCTATTGTTTACCGCGCAAAGCGTGAGAAATTTTTTTAAAAAAAACTTCGCGAATTCTTACAATTTACTTCTGCGTACGATAACACATATCGCGTGTAACATCTTTCTCAAAAGCTCTAAATCAACTAAAAGTATTTCCTTAAACACTGAAGCGAGTTTGAATTCTATTTGATCGTAACGTGAGCCGATTTGTCGCTGTATACATGCTACAAAATATATTCTTTCGATATAAGTAGATATACTAGAATAAAAATGTATACCTATATGATTTTTTTATTCTCTCAATATGCCATGTGTTCGAGACTATACAGTAAAAAAATGCTACAAAATTAAAGTAAAAAAAGTTTTTCAGAATTAAATACAAATTTAAAAGGATACAATTTAATCACATAAATGCAAATATTACAGTTTAATTTGACTTGAAATCTTTAAATATTAAAAACTAGTTAAATGTGTATTTACCCAAATAGAAGTTTCAAATTCTAAAGCTTTCAGGATAATAAGTAAAAAGCTTTTTATTAATTTATATAAAATAAATCAGACAACAAGACATCACACAAAAGTTGGATTTTTTGAAGAAAAAAATTAAATTTAAAAAAAGCTTTATGACTTGAAATATAAAATAGAAATTCTCCCGATGAAGAGTTACAAAACAAATTAACAATTGTTAATATTTACCGAAAATCTTCACTTGCTCAATATTTTGATGATACCATAAAGAATTCGAGTAACGATTATTTAGCTTTGTTGGTCTTGTTTAAAATAAAGCCGGGTAACCTTCATAGTTGAAACAATTTGCGTTGAGCTTTTAAAAATTTAAAATCTCATTCGGAAAAATTTGTGTATTTATTATACATGTATATGTGCACTGTTTTCTGATCGTAACCATGTATGAGTAATTTGATGTTATAAAGTTCAATAAGTTTGTGTAATTTTAGTTTATTTTGCAATTTTTTGCCAACTTTTACTCGAAAAATGATCAAGCGTTATTTCTGTTATATGTGCAATTAAGATCTTTGAGTTTCATAATAATTTCTTTAATAATATTAAATTATTGTGTCCGTTTTAAAAGTCAAAATCAAATTTAAGTTTTTAGTTTTGATTCTTGACATTTTGAACAATATAGAGCATATGGTTTTTTTTAAAAAAATTTGGCAAATAGAAGCATTTCTAAAGTATTTTTAAAACTATATAAAAACAAATAAAATTTCATTTTTATTGATTTTTCTTTAATAACAAAACTAGGTAGAAAATTAAGTTAAGAAATCATGACGTAAACAAATCATATACACTAATAGAGTATCATGCATTTCACTTTCAAAATTATTAAACACGTGATTACTAAAGAAAGATAAGTTTTCAATAACCATGAGAGCATGACCTTAAAATTTATTGGTATTATTGTTGCATTTTCGCGTACAAGCTCATAACTTTTTCTCTGCATGACTCAAAAACTCATTTACACTAATAAACATTTTGTCATGCAACAGTAGTATTTGAAGTTTAGAGTGTTGCTGTAATGTTTGAATATATATGTAAACTCAGGTAAGTAGAGAAATGTTAAGCCAATAATGTTTTCAATTTAATTCTTATCATTAAAGTGATGAATGCTTAAAGAAAGGAATTTTTATTTATTGTTTTGGTATCCGAGAAAGCATAATTATGTCATACGCCACATTTTGTCTCGAATGATCCTAAATGAATTACACTGAAGGCTTTGTACTCGGTAAAATATTTATAAATTTGGTTACATGATGATATTTTAACGTTGCTTAAATGTAAAATATTGATCTTTTCTTCTTTTGCTTATAAACAAATCTTTAGACATTTTTAAAGCAATAGATAAAGTTTTCATTGTTTTTAAAATAATAATCATGATTTAATCTATAGAATTAAAACTTTTTCAAAGCAAGAGTTTTAATAAAAACAAAATTTTGAGATACTTCGTACAGGGATAATATCTCAAAGCCTAAGAACTATTGACCTCGAATAAAACTTTTTTTTACAAAATCAACCCTAGCCACTTTATAAAAGTAATTTCGGCCATGACAAATGCAATCAGGATTGTTAAATTTTGCTTGTGTTTGGCACAGATTCAACACAATAACATCAGGTATGTATTATGCAATTGTACTCAAGCGAATGTATTTAAATAAGAGAGTGCTTAAATTTTGAACAGATAATGCTTTCAGTTTTAAACATACGATATGACGATATGTTGAAAGTAACAATAGTTTTAAGAAAAACGCTTTAAAAGTTTAAGGATACTCAAACATTTTACTTCTTATATTTAATTTGCGTTGTTTTTAAAGAAAAAAAAAATCTTTTTCATGTTATTGACCTATTTCCTTATGAACTAGGATCTCGTTTGTTTTTTTTCTATTAATGTATAATTTCTCTAGCAATAATTTATTTTTTTCTTTTTTTTTTGCCACATGGGATGTTTTTTTTCACATTTTTCATCCAAATTTAATTAATTCATACATTCAAAATCTAATTAATAATCAAATGGTATTTAAATTAAAACCTTGAAGGTTGGTGTTAAATATATCTCCAAATGTAGCTAAACATAATTCACTAAATAAAAGCACTATTATTATTATTATCATGTTATTGATTTACGTTTATTTCCTCGGAATTTTAAGCTCATTTTTAATTTTCTGAGAAAACGAATTGGTCATTTTGTTTACACATTTTATGTAAAATTAATATATCTTGTTTATGCAAATCATGTGTGATTCATTGATATGAGTTTTTTGCCAAAACGTAATTTTACGAGGCTTTTATTTAAAAATATTAATCACTCAATTACTTTTTTAACTTAAAAAATTTTGTTTTTAAAACATATTAATCTAACATCATATAGGAAACAGTAGACTGTAATAAAATAGAAAATTCTCGAAAACTTATAGATGAAATTAAATTAAATTTATGCTATTAAAGGTATGGCTATCAAAACATTTACTGCATAAGCTAATGAAGATCAATAAAATAGATAAAAATTTACATTCTCACAAGTAATCAGTTAAACTTCAAATAAATATGAATTTTTAATTGAATGCCTTAGCTAGGGGCACCCTAGGGTATATTTTGGGATATATAAACTACTCACCTTCTTTTTCAGATTCATGATGATCGTGGTGTCCATCCAAATGTCTCTTTAGATGATGTAGATTGGCATAAAAATGATGGTGATGTAAAACACAAGCAAGATCAGTACAGTTTAACATTTTTTAATCACCAAAAGGCATAGATGTTTTCGCACTTTTTTTTATCTTTTAAGGGTTCACTAATTGCCTCAGCATTTTAAGTTTGCATTATTTATTAACTTGTGTTTATTCCATTATTGTTTTTGACACACTATTTATTCCATGAAACTAATGATTTAAATGACCTTAAGCTATTAAATTGTAGGAAATGAAGAATCTGGTAACGTTACTTACATTTAAGCACATGCAAGAAATTTGCCTTAGTGTTTTATTGATTTTAGGATTGTCTGCTACTCTTGCGTTAATCTTTAAAAAAATGAAACATCAAAATAGAATTTTTGTTTAAAATCATTTTAAAGAAGAAGATGCTATCAAGTTTTAAGTGACATAAATTTATTATCAACCAATTAAGCTCTATGTAATTAGCATAATATTGTAAATGTCAAGCGACTATAAAGATTTATTAACAAATGTATCAAATTTTATAAATTAAATCAACAGGTTTGATAAATTCTTTGTCGATCTTTTCTTGTTGAAATGTTAATCAGTCATTTTTCGAATTAGAAATTTATCATTCAATTAGAGCTTTATCAATTCAATCAATATTTTATGAATCTACTGACTCTATTTCTTATAAATAATTTGGTAAGCATCCACTTCTGAATGATTCTTATATCTCGTTAGATTTTTATATAACTTAAGTTCAGAACAATAAAATGCAAATAAACCGGAAAATTTTAAACCCCGAATATAAATCTTTTTACAAATGATAAAGATGAATATTTACAAGAGATTGTTCAATATACATTGATTTTTCTCTATCCCCACTATATTCCTCTCTCTTTTACTTTGATTTAATAACGTAACGGAATTTTCACCCATTTTAATGCTCGCGCTCAAATCAAGCAATTTTTTCACAAATTAAACCAATATTGTTAAAGTTTTAATGATAACTAAAATAGTAGTTTTCATATTAATTTGCAATATTAGTTCATAATTAAGAAGTTATGTGTACATATACTAAGTTGAATGAAAAGTTTAAAAAATTAAATTGGTCTCGTCAAAAAATGATTTAATGCCAGAGGCACTCAACTTTTCACATTTCTTAATTGTTTGCTTTATAAGCAAAACTTTCAATAAAAATAAGTTTTATGGAATTCGTTAAATAAATAATTTGCTACTGATCATTCCTATCTGTTTTCATCAGGTGCTACTTTGCATTCCATTCTACGTTTATCTTCTACAGTAAAAAAAAAAAGAAGACCTGAAGCACTTGAAATATATTCCTTAAACTCTGTTTTTAAACTTTTGCATCATTATTTGTTCCTACTCTTAATTTGCTTAGGAAGTTGATCAAACTTTAAAAATTTCCTATAATTTCCGGCGAGACCCATTCATTAACCCTATACACATAGCATTTTAAAAAGAAACACATCCAATGAAATTTTTTGAAAATTTCATTTTTTATTTAACTTAAGAAATTTTTAATGAGTAACATTTCACATTTATTCAGAAATATTATCGGTGGTTAGGCTTAATATTTTATTTTATGTATTTTTGATCACATTTCTTTGAATTTAAATATTATTATTATTTTTTTCTTTGTGCCTCGATGACATTAAACCATCATGAATTTGATGCACTTTAGATGAAGAATTAAAATTTAAATGATTTTTTTCATTACACAATTACTTCAAACTGTCATAAAATAAAAAAAAAATGAATCCGTTTATTTTAAATTTTCATATTTTTTTATTCAATTTATATTTTTTTTTCTTCAAAATCAACACTTTGGTACAAATAATGCATTATGTATTCACCAAGAAAAAGAGACAAAATATAATGTCTTTGATGATCGTGAGTTTGTCAAATACTGAAAAGACTGCTCATGTTATTGGAATCAGACATACTCAAACAGGTTGTAAATAACAAGCATTGTACGCTCTTTTGCAGTTTATCTTGCTCATGTCTATGTGTATAGTTCACACTATGATACCAACCCGATGGTGTGCAATCAAACAAGAGCTATACTACTTATGTTTTGACTCATTATCAATGTATTTTCAGCGCCTCGTTAGTAAATCTATGATATTTTATGTTTTAGCTATGCGTTTAACTAATTTCTTAAGTAACATTTTTACACGTTTGTGTGTGCGTTCTCAATAGTTGGCTCTGAGAGGGTCATTGAAATCGAAAGCTCTTTAAAAAAATATTTTAAGTCTTTAGACTTACATTTAGACACATCTAAAACATGCATGTGAATATTTTAGAAACGGTTAAATTCTTAGAAATTTTGTACGACAATTCAGGACAGTAAATTTTTATCGCATTTATGAATAAGCGATGCATTGCTTAAGTTGTTCAATGCTTGTTGATAAGATTCCTAGATATGCATAAACAACTTTTCAAATTTATTGTTTTAATAGATTTTTCAATATCACATTAATAAAAGATTCGAGTACAAAAAAAGCATTTCTTAAATTATAAATTTTAAGGTATGATCTATAATTATGATCTTAATCAATTTTTAAAATTTTATGAGATTTCACTTAAAATCATTTTACAACTTAAAAGTGTGGCAAACAAATTTTTCCCGCAAACAGTTCTGAAATTACTGTAATCCAAAGAGCAAGAATGAAGAAAATGTAACTTATTCCTACTTGATGACTATTTGGTAATTGATAAGGTAACCCACCAATTTCTTGAACATAAAAACCTAGTGGGAAAATTACTGCCGCAATGCAAAACAAGATCATTGCACTAAACCCAATCCATCTCGCATAAAAAATAACATTCCGATCCCATTTGCTTGCAACAAGAAGAATTACTACTGTGGTGATACAAATAACTCCAAGAAAGATTAATATAAGAGTAATCAACCATTCTGTCGATAAAATTGGCGTAAAGCAAATTTGATTCCTTTTGTAAATCGTTATACATTGCCACATTAAACCATATTTTGAATTATTTCCTATTTCAATGATCCATTCACTACTTGCTAAAGATATGATCTAAAATAAATATTCATAGAAATAATAAATCATTCTTTAAAATACATAATAAATAAGTCCCTTACTGCACACATTCCAGCTGTAGAAAATAGACCTGCTGATATCAGAGAAAATTTATCCATTTTTATTTTAAATTATTTTCTATACCATTAATGTACGAGGAAAAATATATAGCTTCATTGCGTCTCTTTTCACCTGATTTTTGCGTCTGTTTATGTTGTTATTAATACATGACGGATAATTGAGTTTGCTGCTACAAAACGTACAAATGATTTTCATTCCTTATTTGACTTTTCATTAAACACAAAAACGATATAAAGAAAAAAAATCGATAAGTTACAAAAAAATTGTTAATTTAATAGATATATGCTTGCAATGAAATGTCTTTAAGTGGAAAAGAAGTTAGCTTTATATTTCCAAAAAGCGGTAATTTGTTCTATGAAAAAAGAAAAGACGAATATCAATTTTGTAAGCCTCATTTGATGTCAATAAGGTCCTACACTTTAGAAAAATTGGAAAAAATGCAATTAGAAGCACAAAAGTTGATGCAAGCTAAAGAAACAGAATCAAAGTAGGCAAAAGACTAAAAGAAAACATCAACAGTGAAAAAAGTTTCAACAAGAGATAAGAACACAAAGAACTACACTTGTCATCAGTTTAAAAAAATGTACTTACTCGCTATTGCCATATTTTTCGCTTTTGCACTTAGTATTGGCTTTCTTTGGAGATATGGCAACATTCCAAGACAACATCCTTTAGTATCGGTGTCTGTTGTTGTCGCCTGGTCATTTTCATTCCTCATAGTCTTTACAATTCCTCTTGATATAACTGGGGTAAGTTTGCTCCTTAATAGTTAAAAAATAAATTATTGACGAAATATTAAACATTTTTGTGGATTGAAATCCCATCATAATGAGTCATAATATAATTATTTGTGTAACTTTAACTTAATATAAGTTCGTATGTTTTAGACGGCTTATCGACAATGTACTGCAGCTGCAAAAAACGCAACAAATAATACGAATCACGAAGAAATTTGTAAACCACCATGGGGTATGGTGTCTGATGACATTTTTCCAACCTTATGGAAAATTATTTACTGGAGTTCTCAATTCTTAACGTGGATTATAATGCCCTTAATGCAGAGTTATTTGAAAGCTGGTGACTTTAATATACGTGGAAAACTTCGTTCAGCTTTGATTGACAATGCAATTTATTATGGAACCTATTTATTCATTTGTGGATTTCTTCTGATATACATTGCACTCAAACCTGGCGTATATTTGGACTGGCAAAAACTTAAAGCTATAGCTTCATCAGCTAGTAACACATGGGGTTTATTTTTACTAGTTTTGCTATTAGGGTATGCCTTAGTAGAAGTACCTAGAAGCCTCCTTAACAATTCCAAAGTTGGATACACTTTACAGCATGCATACTTTAAACTTTCAAAATTGAGTTCAGATAAGGCAGAAGCAGAAGAGAATACTGAAGATGTTTTGGAATCGTTGCAATCTCTCAATTTATTAATTCCTTCACACCATCAACTTCGTCAATGTGTCGAAGAAATATTAAGAAGAGTGCCACCAGAATTAATGGAAAAAGCTAAGCGTTCAGTTCGCTCTGATGGTGGATCCTCAGCATCAGTTCCTTCAGAAAAAGCACTGATTCGTCTCCATAAGCAAGTAATTAAATCGTTACAAATTCTTCAACGTACTGAAGCATTGTGGAATGTTCAAGTAGAGAAGATTCTGTATTTGGAAGATGTTGAAATGAATTATTTATCATCACCGCCATTCAGACACGAATTAAGTGCTAAAAGAGTATGCCCATCAGCTTATTCTCTATGGTACTGGGAATGTGTCATAAAATCGCCATTTTTAAAAATACTTGCCGGAATAACTGCAGTTCTATCGATTATTGTAGTTTGGAGTGAACTAACGTTCTTTAGTACACAGCCAGTATTATCAATTTTTGCAAACATTCTCTATTTAGCAGAAAAAAGTTATGATTTTGTAACAATAGAAATTTTCTCAATGGCTACCCTATGCTATCTCTGCTACTGTGCATATTCAACAATATTCCGGATTAAGTTTTTGAACCTTTATTATTTGGCTCCACATCATCAAACCAATGAGCATAGTTTAATATTTAGTGGAATGCTTCTTTGTCGCTTAACTCCTCCAATGTGTTTAAATTTTCTCGGATTAATGCATATGGATTCTCATGTAATAAAACAGAGAATACAAGAGACATACTACACTCAAATTATGGGACATATGGATGTACTAGGTGTAATTGCAAATGGATTCAATATTTATTTCCCCATGTTAATGGTAAGATTTAAAGAATTTAATGAATATTAAGTTTTTAAATTAATATAAAACTCGTTTAGGTGGCAATTTGTGCTGCAACCTGGTTTTCTCTTGGATCAAGAATCTTAAACACTCTTGGTTTTCAACAATTTATGGTAAACGATGAAATTTCTTTGGAACTTGTACAAGAAGGTAGAGACTTAATGATAAGAGAAAAGCGCAAAAGACAGAGGATTGATGCAGGATCAAGACGAAAAGATTTTAATTTTCGAGAAACATTTAGTGATCGGGGTGCATTGAGAGATGGATCAACTAGCAATTTTGATTACAATACCACTAACACAGGCATCGATGACATTACCTATGATCAAGGAAGAACATTGTCTCAAGAAATTAATGAACGATTTGGAGTTTCTACTGATATCAATTTTCGACCAGACGATGATAACTTTAGACCTAAAAATATTTTCGATGATGTTTAAAATGTGTAATGAGATAAGCAGAATGTGCATATTATTTAAAAGGAAAACTGGACAAATAACAATTTCACAACACATACAGTTATAGACAAACAATAAAGTCATGTTTATTGTCGAACTAGTAAAATTATTAGAATTGTATTAATTTACCAGAATGGTGGAAATTTTCTTACTTGCTTCGACTAACCATTGATTCATCTGAGCTTGAACATTGTTATGATTTAAAGATAATAGAATTGTATGCAAAATATAATGCTCATGTACTATTCAATTTAACGATTATTTCTAAGAATAAATTTTCACGCAATTATGTTTCTTTTTTTTATAATTCCATGAAATGAAAATTTTAATTTATATTCATGAAAAAAAGACAAATAGACTTTTAACTATAAATAAATCATCATAAACAGTTAAAGATTTGTGTTTTATTCATTTATTATTTTTATTCATATTAAATTTGGATTCAACATTTTGAAATTTATTTTTGTGAACTTTAAAAAGATTTCCTTTCTCATAGTTGTTGAGTATGTTAAATATTATTCAAAAGTTGATTAGACTCATTCTCATATTTTAAAAATTATTAAACCTACACTCATTTTTTTTAAGTTTTTAGACATTGTGCGCATTCTTTAAAAATGTTTTCGATTTGATTACATGTTTGTATTTTTCTTCTCAAAAGTCATAAAGAGATTGTAATTTAAGAAACTTTAACAAGTAATCTACTTTGCATGCATTGACAAAGTTTGAAATTTTTGGTTTATATATCACATTAGAATTTTCATAAAAAATGGACGCCTTTAAAGAAAAGTTTGCTTAATATTTATTAAGTTAGTCATTGAACATAAAAATTTGAAAATAGAAAGGAATCTGTATATGAAACAAAAAGTTTCTAATTTGCAATTAATTTTCATTTAAAAGCGTCCTAAAGATGATTTCTTGACTAAAGCCTTCCAGAAAAATTAATTCCAATTTAAGGATTTTATCTTTCTAGTCTTAACTTTGTGTTTTTTCTTTGTAGTGTCAACCTTAAAGCTTGGGAATATTTGTTTTAAAGTTTAAGATAAAACTTTAATATTTTTCAATACCCACCTCTTCGAAAAATTCTTTAAAACATCAAGAATTTATTTTAATAAAGCTTAACAATTTACATACAAATATATTTAAAGCAAAAGATATTGAATTGTTCCAAGTTTAAATGCAATTTTCCTTTGTACCATTCTAGGAATTGTTTTCTAAAATATTGAATTTATATGAAAATATTAATTCTCTTCTTTTCGGCACGTGACAAACACCAAACAAAATTATGACTTAATAAAATGGTTTACTAAGTTGAAACATATTTGATTAATTTAAATTAAGCATATCATCATTTTGAATCAAATTTCAATTATTTACGATATATTTTGTTTTCCTTAAGATTGTTACAAATAAATCATTTTGCAATTTAAAATGATTGTAAGGTATTAAAATGATTAAGAATATAAATATTTGTTTTGGTGAAAAAAACATCTCAAATAGATGGACAAAATATCACAATTTAATGAGAAATATCAATTTGAAACAATTAATCTTTTATTAAGATTATTGAGAAATTTCCATTTTTTTATATATATTTTTTTTAAAATATATTTCGATTTTAATTCAAGTTTTTTTTTTTTAATTTTGTTTCTTTTTCAGAAAATACCAATTTTAATCAAATATTTTATATTTTCTAGCATAACAAGGAAGTGATTTTTTTTGTAGTGTAATTTTTTTACACACAAATTACAAACGTTTAAACCATCTTAATATTCAGAATTCACAAGTTACAAATTTTAAATTAAAAATCCAGACAGGTTACATTACTTCTCAATCGAATTAAAATCTTAGCTCAGTTAAACTAGAAAATACTGAATATTTGTGCTAATACGTATACAAACTTGTTGTATTTCCAAAAAAAATAAATATTTTTCCAAAGTGTGTAATAAAATATATTTTGAAAGTAGTTAATACAAAATGTTTACCAAAAATACATCTAAGCTTTCAAAATATATTATATATTTATTTTAAAAACTTTTAACCTGTTTTCAGCAACATTTACTTTTTGCAGTAAAATTTGAAAATGCTTAAAACTTTTAATCAATTTTAGGACAAATTTAAAAATTTTGTTGGCAAATCTTCGAGAATGAAGAATTTTTTAAAAAACTCTATCATATTTTTAATTGATTTTTAAATATAATTGCCTTTATATTCTGATTTTATCCAATTCCTGAAAATTTGCATCTAAGATAATATCATTTTGCGAACAAGATTAAATGTCACACGATATTTACTGCGCATTTAATGAAAGCATCAATGTGGAATAAAACTTAATATTTTTTTTCCAGTAGAGAAGTTTCTTATACGTCAGTTACAATATTTCTGCACTTAGTGCTCATACATTTAAAAAAGAGTTATACAAAATTGAGATCATCTGTTGGTAACTCACATATATCTACCGTACAAGAATCAGTTTTCTTTGTTCCTGTTCCACTGTTATCCTTTGAAAGTAATTTCATAAATTGCGATATACTACTTCTTCTGGGCATTTCGCCCTGCTAGTTGAATCAGGAATCCTATTAAATAAAGTTTCAATCAAAATTATGAACTCTCTGTTTGATGTATTTAATTATACCACAAGGACATGCCACCTGGAGATTAAATCACATTTTCCTACTTGTCCGTTAATGTTAGCAGCATCTCTCATATCGTTAAAATGTTGAGCTTCTTCTGGTCCACTTGAATTAAGTCCTAGAGAAAACCAGCCAACCATCTCATTTCTTTTCACATTTTTCTTAGAATATACCGAAATCATTAAAGTGACATCATTCAATTGGAAAAGTGCAACCTGTTAAAATAAATATTATGTGAAACATGTGATTAAATAAATGCATCCACGATTTTCTTACTTGAAAAACAAATGTTTCTTTGAATAAAGGATTTGGTTGTCCTCTCTTAGTAGAAGTTTTAGCTTTTGCCATTTCTTGTCCCATACTACTTACTAAACACAATTTCACATAGGTATCGGGTGCTTTTCCAATAGCCAAATTTCGAAAATGACTTCCTTTTACAATTTCTGCAGTTAATCGACCTGTTGTTCCATTATATCCTAAAGCTAATAATAATTCTGGAACTCCACCACCATGTTGTTGCATTGAAATCGTTGATCCTGTACTATCAGATCGTGCTAAACTCAATAAATCACTTGTTGAACTACTCAGCTAAAAAAATATAAAAAAATGTCGATTACAATTTAATACAATATAAAGAACTTTCTTACAACGGAATTGTTCCTTGATTCTAAAAGAAGCCATAAATTTGATTCTAATTCTAAATCGATTGATGCAAAGCTAATGATTGTTTCTCCAATTAATCGTTCCCGTCTCATTCTTTCGCATCCATAGACTCGAACACGCAATGCCATTGAATTGACTTCTTCTGGATTAACACGATGAAGTAAAAAGCTATTTGAAGTAATTTTAAAAATTAATTTAAAAACTCTTTTGATTAATTAAAATGAAATTACCTCTCCATAAATTGGGGATTTTCGCCACATCGAATTTTTGTTTTGTGCTTCTGTTTTTTACTAGGCAACATTAGTAATCTAACTTGTGAGTGAGTAGTGGATTTGTCTCTTGTTGGAATACCACGACATTGAAGAACGTGAACAGTCATTTTACGCATTGGTGCATCGTATAAAAGAGCTATTTCAATAAAAGTTCCACCTCGTTCTAACAACGATGCTGTTGGACTTTGTAAATTTAAATCAAACTCAGATTTTATTGATTTTGTTTCACAATTATCAAAAAGCGGCTCCTGCATGACATCAACAATGCACTACAGTTGAGAGAAAAATAAATAAAATATGTCATTGATTCATTTTTAATTTCCAACTTTTTTTTCATACATCTTGATTGATGCTCCTAATGTCAGGCATATTTTCTAAACTATCATGATCCAAGGAATTGAGTCTTGAGATTTTACTTCTTTCATCATTCTGATTAGACGAAAATACTGAATTAACTTGACGTCGATCTAAAAGTTTACAATCAACATCTTTGAGTAAAATTGTTTTTTTAAAAAATAATTAAGGTCCTACCTTTTTTCTCATGACTTATAAGTCCAACATTACTGTCAACTGAAGCTTCTACTGAACTATTTGAACTACACTCGCTGCTTGTATGAGTACCAATTTTCCCTCTTTCTGCTTGGCCGAGTAAATCACGATTTTGGTTCTTATTACTATGTCGAATGTTGTTATTATTATTAATATTATTATTGTAGAAATTATTATTTTTTAACGTGTTAATATGCTTGATTGATTTTGAAGTAGATAACATATCTAATGTTAAAATTGGTTGAAACCCTTCTAAATTTATTGACTGCTTATTTGAATCACTAATAAGTCCTCCATACTCAGCACACTTAAATAAATTAGATTCACTAGTCAAACTTGTTGATTGTTGCAATTTTAAGCGTCTAAGTATTTCATCTTCTGAATCAGAACTTGAATTATCATGGTAAGGATAACGTTTACTTCCTAAAATCAAATATTTTATGAGTTTATAAAAAATTTAAGTATCAGAAGTACACAATGCCTTACTTAAATTATAAATTGTTTTCGTTGATAGCGTTTTTTCATCGCAACAAGGTAAAATAGTAGAATTATTAAAACACCATTTTCGGTTTATATAAAGGAAAAAGATGACGACTAGGACGCACATCCCTAATCCTGCACCAACAGTTGTTTCTAAAGAAACTAGAAGTGTACGAAAAATAATAAATGAAATTAGATATTGACCTTAAATTCATAATGTATTCAAAAAGCTTATTAAGAATTTCTTTATGGTTTTAAAAGTTTAGTATTTATTGGGAAAACGAAGGTCTTTTAACAATAACACGACATTTAGGTATTGAATTGGAAAACACTTGGTCATTAAACTCAACGCGGGAAAACATGAAGCAATTGCTTTCAATGTAGACGAACACGCAATATTTACGGACGAAAAAAAAAATCGATAACGAAGAAAGGAAAAACACACAAATTGGTAAAGTACACAAATTTGTTATTGATTTTTTTTACTTCGTTTCTCATCATCTTTAACAAATTTCTTAACCATATGCTTGATTCCATTAAGAATTCTTTATTTAAAGAAATTCTTAAAATATAGAATATTAACATTACCATAAGAATCTACACCCGCTATCATAATCATCTTTGATGAATATTATTAGTTGAATATTCAAAGATTAAAGTTTTGTCAAATTTATTTCTTATATTTTTCTTCAATTATCCAACAATTTATATAATTTTCCTCAGAGAGGATTCCAAAATCACAAAGAGAGTTTATTTTTTATTTCAATTCATTCTTGAAGAAAACTATTTTCATTTTTTCACTATGATCAGTTCCATTCTAATTTTGCAAAATTAACTTTTAATATTTTTCAAAATACAAAAGCTTTTTTTTTCATTTTTTGAACTTTAATTAAACTTCCTGAAATTATTTTCATTTCCAATCCTAGCTTGAGTAAAAATGAAATATCACTTTATTTGTGTGAATAGAATTAAATTAACAAAAAAATAAACAAAAATGATTCTACGTGATTTTCTATACAAAGTTCTGAAAATTATCCTGAGCTTTTCAGCCCTTGTGAAAATGTAAACTCGGTCATGAAACTTGTTACATTTGTTTTACAAAACGTGCTTTAAAAGATGTTTAAACGTGCTTATTTAACGTGCTTTTGATACTATTTTTTAAAAGAAAAACAAATTTTTTTGTGTAAAGCATATGCAGAATAAAATGCAAGGGTCTGATCAAAAAAAAATATTTATCTATAGGATTGTCTATTTAAATGAATGTTGTTTTATGTATTCCCATATCATAATAGCACCAGCAACATGAACATTCAAAGAACGGACAACTCCAGACTGAGGAATTTCTATTATCAAATCCAGAAGTCCAAGTAAATCTGCAGGAATTCCTCTCTTTTCATTGCTATATATAAAAAAAATAAATAATTTTAAGGAATAGTTTAATATTTTTGAAAATCTTAAATTTACCCTAGGAGGAGAACACATTTCCTTGGCATTTTAACATCTACTAACGATACACTATTTCCACTTTGCTCAGCTCCTACTATAGTATATCCTGTTTGTTTCATTGCAATTAGGTAGTCAAAAAGTTGCCAATTTTTAATTTCTGATATTTGAATCCATTTTTCAGATGTTCTACTCAGACTCTTGAATTCAAAGTTTTCTTGTGATTTTAAGGAATGCATGACATATGTCGATATTCCAAAAATTTCGCATGTTCTTGCTAATCCACCCAAATTTGTATTATTATCGATAAGAGATGCAACAACAATTAACTCTGATGTCGGTTTCTGTATATAAAAAAAGATTAAATTTCGTAAAATTTTAAACTGAATAGCTTAAAAAAAAAGTCTTACCAAACATGCCTCGTCTGCATCAAAAGATTTAAATCTATCAGGAACAGTCCTTAATAAATTTTCTTCGGGACCTTGATTTTTAAATGGCAAATATTTTTTTTGTAAGTTAACGATACCACTGTTAACATGTCTATCCAATCCAATTTCAATTTCATCTGCCATGACAATACAATCACCTTCTTTTAACATATCAGCAGCAAAAAAACTTTCAAAATCTTCATTTTTATCCACAATTATTTCTTCAAAAGGCATGTTAGTAGCTTTTGGAATATCCTGATAAAAAACTTGATATCTGTTCAACTTTATGTAATCATTTGAAAATCTAAAATCATTCTTAAGAGCATTGAAATATTTTAAACAGTTTTTTTGCTTCACACTTTCCTGAATAACTTTACAAATTTCAAACATTTTTGATGTAGTAGAAGTTTCAGTGAAGTTAGGTAATGTTTTAATATGCGCATATGATAGAATAATAGTAAGTAAGGAATAAATCCTTACTCCAAAATTTTGTCCCATTGAGAAAGGAAGAATACTTTTAAACATCGAATCCAGTCTTTTTTCAGCTTTTTTAAAATCAGTTTCCATTTTCATTTGGATGATTGAAATAGAAAAAATAGATTTTAGGGCCTGAGAATTTAAATCACGATTTAATAAGTCAACAATGTCAGGTATATGAGAAGCAAGAATTATTTCAAGAATGTATATCACATTAAGCTGATTGTTTACTCTTAATAATTCAAAAATTAATAAATCAATTATTTCATTACTAATGTTCTTGCAGAAAAATAATGGTTGAAAATGGTGCAGTTTAAGTCTATGAATATTTGAATTAGGATAATATCTTATTTTCTTTTTGCTAATGACTGAAAGTTGTACTATTTTTTCTCCGACTATTTTAGAGAACATTTCTTCTCCATACAATTTCAACAAAAGTTTTGCAACACTTAGTCGAAACTTTACTTTTTGTTTTGTTTCTTCATCAAATCCATACACGAGCTCATTTTCGATTCTGTAAATTAAGTTATTGGAAGTTTATAATTTATTTTTTTTTTTTTTAAAAAATAAAAGCTAGACTTACTGCTCATCTCGTGTCATCACCTTCACTTCAAACATTGCTTCTATTAAACAAGTCTTGAAATAATTTAAGACATTATTTGTAACCAGTGCCGTACAATGTTCATTAAAGAAATCATGCATGGCTAATAGTAATGCAAATCTATCATTCTCATTCGTACGATCCATGAAAGTTCTGAAAATTTCTTCAACTGCTTCCATCCATGAAATTGAAAACTCAAAGTTTTCGATTGATTCCCAGATAAACTTAATGAAACTGTTAAAATAAAAATTAATACATCAGTTAAACATTATTGATTTTTTTTTTATAATTCCATACCTTCTCCAAAAGCTTGTTGATAAACTAATAATATTACATGAAGTTTGAAGAAAATTATTGAAAATATTTTTGAGTTTATCTGAAATGATTGCATGTGCTTCTTTTGATGTACTCAACGTAGCGATTTTTAATATTTCGTAAACATCCATAACATCGCTCTCTGATGAAGATCTATCTAATAATATCTCAATATTTTCCAAAACACGTTGAATGAATTGTAAACTTGGATGTAAACTATTTATAAATAGATTTTTGATAATTAATGCTTGACCAATTGTTTGAAGGATCAGGAACTGCGATGTAAATGTAGATGAAAAATATTCATTTTCTACGAGTTTAGAATCAAAATTCTGATTATGTTTCAAAATAATATTCGTAGATTTTAAATAAGGATATTCAAAACTTTTATCATGAAGAAATATTGAATTAATTCGTGTCCAAATTTCAGTAATGTGTTCTATTGCTTCATTTTCAAGATTATTTTTTGCAGTTTTCAAACTCAATTCCAAAAGGTTTAATGCATTTTCAATGCCCTCATGCTTTTGATCTGTTAACTGCTCCCAGATTAATTTAATCATTTCATTGACTATTATGCTTGGTACATCTTCATAAATATCCATTGATTCATACATATCAAGCATAACTTCGATCACTAATTTTTGACTTTCTTTTATATGTTTGACACAATCCTTTACCTCATCAATTGTTTTTCCCATGTGCGTTTTAAGTAATATGTATTTCACAAATTCATAGTCGACTTCTTTCGAGAAAATTAAGGCATAATCTTCTTCTGTAATGTTATTTATACATTCCTTCATACAATCGTGGTTTTGATTAATATGAAATATATTCTTAAATGTACGTAGAACTTGATGAATTCCAACTGAAGTTATTACCTTTTTAAGTAAATTTGAGTAAAATATTTTTACTATTCCACGTATTTTAATGTTCCTTATTCGCTTGGGTATCAATTCAGTTTGCTTCTCAAAACAAGCCAGAAAATCTTTATTATATTTATCAGGTATTTTCATAGATTTCAAACTTTCAAGAATGTAGTAAAATGGTACAGAAAACCAGTTGATTTCAATAAGGAGTTCAAAAATTATCTCCGAATTATTTTCCACAAATTTTTGGATTTCCTTAAGAAATTTTTCCTCTCGCGAATCAAAAAGATATGTGACGTTCACAGCTTCTAAAATTTTAAGCACCTGTTGCTTTTTAAACTTTATTTCCCTCATTCCAAAAATGTATTTTAATCCATAGCTTTTAACTAAGCTATTTTCATGATTAATCACCATAGTACACAATATGAACCAAAAGGTTTTAAAATTTTCATTGATTTTCATTTCATGTAATAAATCTAGAGATGGAAGTATCAAGTGGCTTTGATTTTCCTCCAAAGTCTCCATAATAGTAATAAATTTTCTCCAGTTTGCATCATTGCTTTCACACAATAAATTATGATCTAACAAACATTTAAGCAGAAATGTTCCTTGTTTTCTAGCCAAAATTGTTTCATCATTAAAATATTTCTCAATAAAATCTAGTTCTTCAACTTTCAATCCATTCTGGCACAAATGTTTAAAGAAATAACAAAGATTTTGTGTACTTATTGCATTATGAAGTTGCAATGATCGTTTATATATTGAAGACAAAATAAAGTCCTTAAGCATTTTGTCTTTTTTCAAAACTTGACATAATATTCCAATAGCATAGTACCGCAAAGATGATTCTTTGAATATGAAATCCACTAATATCTGACAAAATTGTTGAAATTCGTATCCGGAATAATTGTTGTTTAATCCAAAATCCACAAGAACTTTGGAAATTCTTAACTTGGCTAACGTGACCTCATTATCAATAAGATAATGTTTTGATGATTCAAACAAATTTATAGTAATAAGTTGCTGCAGAATTTCATCGAACATGAAATTAGATACATCATCATTTTCAATCAATATCAAAAGTTTATTGAAAAATTCATTTCCATCTTCCTTAATCTTTCCATTCTCATACAACTTAATAAATGCAATTAATATTTCTTGATTACTTCCATTAAATAGTTTAATGAATTTGTTTTTGTCCTCATGATATAACAAATAATATTCATAAGAATCCATAACTTTTAGTATTATGTTTGTTTTGTGACTGTTAAATATCCACTGAAATTAATTTTTGTTTTGATTCTCTTCGCACGTTTTGAATCGTAAAGTATTTTGCTCAGTTTAACTTCGAAACTTTTTATGTTTATATTTTTTTTTTAATAATTTTACCTAGAAACTAGTTTCTTATTTTAGCAACAAAAAGTATAATTTAAAAAATTAAGTAATATTTTGATTTTAAAATGTTGAACCTATAAAAATTTTTTTATAAATCTTTTAAAAAAATTTTAACATTATTTAAAATATTGCCGCAAAGTGATTGCTTAGTTTGGGTACATCCGCAAATAGTGTTCCCGTTACATAATTTTTCATCGGACTGAAAAAATTATTTTAATTTTTTTACGATGGGAAACGGCATAACATTAGCATTAAAACCGGAAGTGACACCTAGTCCTAATCAAGAGTCCCAGTTTGATCCTCTTTATGGATTTCCAAATGGCAGAAAAGAAAGGGGTACTTTTAAAATTTAAGAAATGTACAACAATTTTTGTTTATGCTTAAAAAATATTCTTTAAAGTTATGATAGCAACAGAGGAAGAAATGATTTCAGCAAAACTTCCACTTGAGAATCGAGACTATTGTGCACATCTTGCAATTAAATTTCAACAATGTCGTAAAGAAGTTTGGCCATGGGCTTGGAAGTGCGCTCCTGAAAAACATGAATATTTATCATGTCAATATGAGGAGTAATGAATTAACACTTTCATTAAAACATTGCTTAATAAGATTTTTTCATTACTTTTTAGCTGGATTTTAAGGATGAAAGAATATGAGCGTGAAAGAAGATTAATGGAGCGTAAAGAAAGAATCAGAAAGAGGAAGGAAAAGCAAGGAGAATAAATACTCCTTAAATTTTCTTAGTTGCTAGATGCTCTGAAAATAAACTGAAATTGTTTTCAGAAACATCTCAAAATCATAATAAAATATAAAAATTATTGTCAAAATTAAAGAAAATTACAAAAAATAAAAAAAAAACTACAAATTTAAAATTTTATGTGACATTACTGATTTTTTTGATGGGGTGTTAGAAAAGTTAAAAAAACACTCAGAAACTTAATTCTCTTTCAAAAAAATAATTCAGCTAATTTCTAAGAGTTTTCACATTTTATTGTTACGATTTACAAACTATTTGATAAATTAATGGATAAGTTAAGTGTGAATGGATTTAAAAAAACAACAAGAAAGTTTTAAAAATCGGTAAATCTTAATAATTTTTTTTGAATAGTATAAAAAATAAAGATTTCATTAATATTTAATTTCTGAAGCTTATATGACTGACATTTGTTCTTTAAATTTAATAAACATTTTTTACATTTTATTTTAAAATTGTTTTTGTTTTTAATTTTAACAATTTACTTTTTCTTTTTTACAATTAACCATTTTTGTCTGATTTTTCTCTTTGTAAAGTTTTTCTTAATAAATATTTTTTTTTCTTTTTTGTTTTTGTTTTTTTTTAAGTTATAGTGCATAGTCATAAGATTAACGAGTGAAGAAATTATTCAAAAATGTCGTCATCTAGCCCATCCGAACTAGAAATAGAACACACTGATAATGAGGATCCTTTGATTCATGATTGTGAAGACAAAATACGTGATTTCAAAGAAGTTGAAATTGAAGATAAGTTTAACAGTGTGAAACGAAAATTAGTATCAGATGTGCATGCTGCAAAAAAACCTAAAATTAAGGAAGAAATTGAAAATCATTATTCAGATTGTGAAAAAGAAAATCACAATTCACCAATTATAGAGGAAATCACAAGAGAAGATAGTAAAGTAAAAGAGGAGGCACAAAATAATGAGGATGATGAGAATGAAACAGGGAATGAAATTGAAATGACTGAAAAGGAAAATAAGTTGGATGAAGATGAAACTGATAATAAAAATGAAGCAATCTCAAAAGAGAAGAAGGATAAGAAGGAAAATGAGAAAAAGTTCCAAAACCTGAGAAAAAATATTAAAGACGTTCTTGATGAATCTCAGCTAGATGCAACTACATTGGCAGCACAGCGACAAGAATCCGAACGTTTAGCCAGATTGCAAGAAGCCCAAAGAGTTGTAAGAGAAACACAACGTCAAATTGCCGCTGAAAAACATGCAAATAAAACTCAACAAAAAGTTTTATCTTTATTGGGTGATCAATCGAATGAACAGAATAACTCAACAATTGACTTAGATGATCCATTATTTGAAAAACTTTCACTAAATCCGGCAATTAGTATTACTCCTGCATGTAAAGAGACTCTTCAATCAATTCAATCATTAATTAGTACCGATGATAAAATTCCTGATTCTGATGATGATGATGTCATAATTCAACCACAGGAGCCTATCGAAAAATCTAAAGCTGTTATTGTTGACAGTTCCTCAGATTCAGATGATTGCATTATACTATCAGACGAAGAAGAGGAAGATGAGGACGAGGACGATGAAAATAACAGTGGAGAACATACAAATGATGTTTATAATAAGCACGATGCAGAAGGTCGTGTTATTATAAATATAGGTCACAATGAAAACGAACCAGACGTTTTTGTTGCACCACAAATTGCAAAAGTAATCAAACCTCATCAAGTTGGTGGCGTACGCTTCCTTTATGATAACATTATCGAAAGTATTGAGTTATTTGAAAAATCAACAGGATTTGGCTGCATATTAGCGCATTCTATGGGATTAGGAAAAACACTACAATTAGTTTGTTTCTGTGATATTTTTTTAAGACATACCAATTCTAAGACGGTTCTTGTAATCATGCCAATTAATACACTTCAAAATTGGAATAATGAATTTAATATGTGGATTCCGTCGCCTGAAGATGTTGATAAATGTCCTCTGAATGGAGAGTGTGAAATTAGACCGAGAAATTTCAAAATTCACGTTCTCAATGATAGTCACAAGTCTCTAGCAATGCGGTCTAAAGTTGTATTAGAATGGAAAAAGGAAGGAGGAGTTTTAATGATGGGCTACGAAATGTTTCGATTATTAAGTCTTAAAAAGGTCAAACAAAAGCGTAAGAAAGGTGGAATCAATAATCTGGAAAACGATGTTACTTCAACTGAGGATCAAGATATGTTTGATAAAATTTATGATGCACTGGTTAATCCAGGTGCTGATTTGATTGTATGCGATGAAGGACATCGCATAAAAAATGCATGTAAGTAAATTGTCTTTCTGTATTAAAATGCAAATTATATTTTAAATTTTCTTGTTCTTTAATTTTAGCTGCCAGTACATCATTAGCTCTAAAACAAGTAAAAACCAAGAGAAGGGTTGTCTTAACTGGATATCCTCTTCAAAATAATTTATTAGAATATTGGTGCATGGTTGATTTCGTTCGACCAAGTTATTTAGGAACAAAAACTGAATTTTCAAATATGTTTGAAAGACCAATTCAAAATGGTCAATGTATTGATTCAACACCCCAAGATTGCAAATTAATGCGCTACAGGGCCCATGTTTTACATTCGCTTTTAAAAGGATTTGTGCAAAGAAGATCGCATTCAGTGCTTCAAAAATGTTTACCAGATAAAACTGAACACATTTTACTTATTAGATTAACTCCATTCCAAAGAAAGCTCTATACAGTATTCATGGATGAAGTAGTAAGGTCTAAAAAGGTTCCAAATCCACTAAAAGCATTCGCAGTATGTTGCAAAATATGGAACCATCCTGATGTTTTATATAATTTTTTGAAGAAAAGAGAACTTGATCTTGAAATTGAATTAGAGGAAAATGATGCTGATCGGAAAAATGAACCGGCTTCAAACATTAAAAAAAGAGGCAGAAAAAGTAAGGATAAAGATAAAGATAAAATGAAACAGGAAGAGCAAATTAATTTAAGCATCGTTAAGAAAAATGATTCCGAAGAAATCAATCCAATAAGACTTGAAGTGTCAAAAAACATTCCACAAACAGCATCAGACACATTCAAACCACCTGTAACACCTTCAAGTAACGATAGTGCATATTCCTCAAATCAATCGCTTTCAAGTAATTATGAAGGTCCTAATACATATAACTCTTATTCAAATTACCAAAATTATGACGTTAATAATTATCAAAATTATAACTATCCAAATGGAAATTTCTCTAATTGGAATAATACAAACTCCAACTCTTATTGGCAAAATAACTATTATCAGCCTGATAATTTTTATCATCCTCCAAACTCATATCAACCATACTATGGAAATCAACAGATCACCGATACAAAACCGTTGCAGTGCAATAACACAACCAAACAGGAAAAGGATAATATAAAGGTGGAACCATCGCAAAATTTACCTGTGGATAAAAATCCAAAACCTATTCTTGATGGTGGTTTATTAGCAGATGTAATACAGAAAGAAGCTAAAGAGCAGCAAGAAAAGAATAATACGAATAAAGAAGATATTGCGGACACAATTGTACTCAAAAATAGTTCGCGCGATGATGGAATTCCTTACGATTGGGCCGTTGATTTGATGAAAGATTATGTTCCTGATTTAATAGAAAACTCACCCAAATTAGAAATATTTTTGTGCATTTTAAACGAAAGCATTAAATTAGGCGATAGACTTCTTGTCTTCTCTCAAAGTCTTCTTACTTTAAATTTACTGGAGAAATTTCTACAACGTTTAAAAATTCCCAATTCTGAAAAGTGTTGGGCAAAAAATCAGAGCTATTTTCGACTTGATGGTTCAACAGCTGCTCTAGAGCGCGAAAGACTTATTAATGAATTTAACTCAAACATTGATTACAAACTTTTTATGGTATCAACAAGAGCTGGATCTCTTGGTATCAATTTAGTTGGTGCAAATCGTGTTGTCGTTTTTGATGCATCATGGAATCCATGCCATGACACTCAAGCAATATGTCGTGTCTATAGATACGGACAAACAAAACCATGTTACGTTTATCGTCTCGTTGTTGATAACTGTTTGGAAAAGAAAATATATGATCGTCAAATTAATAAACAAGGTATGGCAGATCGTGTTATTGACGAGTGCAATCCAGATGCACATTTATCGATTAAAGAAGTGACATCGTTATGTTATGATGATGGAGATGATCCTGAGATTAAAGATTTTACAAGTCAATGCGAAAACCATCATGATTTTGTTATGAAAAAGATTTTAATTGATTATCCAAAGGCTCTGACAAAAGAACCTTTTCAACATGAAAGTTTGTTGATTGATAGAAAAGAAAAGAAATTGTCACAAGCTGAAAAAAGATTAGCACAACGTGGCTACGAAATGGAAAAGCAAGCAGCAAATAAAACTTCATTTAATTATAATACAGTAGGAAATAACTATAGATTATTTAGAACACCAGACGGTACATTAATTCAAAGACCAGTCATTTCGAATGTAATTATTATTGACTTGCTAAATTATTTTTATTTTGTTTAATTTCATCAACTTCATTATTAATTTCAGACTCATATTCCACCAATTCCAACTCCTAATATTCAAAATCCAAATCAGAATCCAGCAATCAGAGCAGAGAATCCAAGACCTAATCGATGGGTACCAGTTGAAGTTTGGCAAAGCAAAGGAATCATCGCTCAAGAAATGACACTTCCACAGGGTAAGCATCAATGCCATTATTTTTTATTTTTGAAAAATTTCACTGCAACTTTTATTTTATGCAGATGTTTCAATTCAAACGAATTCGGCCGATAAATCAAAAATATTCTTGAAAGCTGGACAGAAAATCATTGTTCTTAAATCACCGAGAGGTATATGCTTACAGTTGGAAAGTGGAAAAGTAATTGCAATCAGAGCATCAATGAAAACTGGCCAACCAAATGTTCCGTGTGATTTAAAGAATTCTGGTATTCCAGGGATATTAGAAGCAAACGATGCAGGTGAACTTCAAAATAGAAAAACAATTGTTAATTCTGATGATGTTATTGATATGACTAATAGTGACGACGATGATGATAGTAATGTTAAATCATCCATCAAAAGTGATTTTAAAGAGAATCAGTTCGATTCGAAAGGAGTTGAAAATGAAAGCAACATTGAAATTCTTAAGGAAGATATTGTTTTTAAAGAAAAACCAGTATACAAACCAAATTTAGTTCACAGAAAACCGAAAATTATGCCTCCTCCTACACCGGTCAACACAACTTCAGTAACTTCGGTTGTTACCACGTCACCTGCTTCACAATCCAATCAATCTAATATCGACAGTCAATCTTCGTCATTTGATACTAATGATTATCATAAATGGAATAGATTTAATAATAAGTCATCAACAAACTATTCAAATCAAGCATACCAAGATTTAGAAAGAACTTCGAAAAGTAATGATCATCAAACCTCTTTCACGAATCGTAAGTTTGGTAATCATTTTAATGGACTGAATTTATAATGTATTTTTTTTTTTCAGCGTATAATTCCTCAAATTCTGTAACAGTTAAAAGTGAATCCAATGATGAAAATCCAACAAGTGATCCTTTAGTTGCAAATAATTCTTCAGCTTTTCATGCTCCACCATTTCCAAATACCTTTATGCAGCCTCCATCTCAGTACTCAACACATAACGCATACCCACCTTATCAAAATAATAGTAGTAATGGTAGTAATAACTATAATTACCCATCTTCTAATTATAACTATTATCAACAACCATTTTCGAATTCACCGAGACCGTATCTTCCTCCACATAATAATTATGATCCACAATATTCTTTTGGATACAATCAATATCCTAGCACACAAATGTTACCAAGTTCTTATTCTAATACCGTACCAACAACAACTGCTACAACAACAATGACCCCATCATCTTCCAATACTAATTATAGTCGATGGGACTGGAATAAGTAGGTCTGAATAATGTAATCGCATAGCCAGATGGGTTCTAAATTAAATTAGATAATAAATGTACACAAAAGTAAAATATGAAAAAGAATTACTTTATTGTCACACTTTCTTAGAAGATTATAATTATAACTGTGTATTGACTAATGCTATAAAGTTAATATTCGTAATTTTTTGCATTGTATGCCAAAAAAGTAATAAAGCTTCTCATAAAGAAGCATTCTGTAAAACTTTCTCTAATTTTAGAATAAAAATCATCTTAATTCCTCATGAATTAAAGATGTTTAGACAAAAATCATAATAATTTTAATTATTATAAGGTAAAATTTAGTTTTGAAACATTTAATTGTGATTTAAAACAAACCGTTTATGAACAATTAATGTAGATTTTGAGTTAAAGGAGTAAGAATCATAATAAAGTAAAATTTAAAACAATTAAAGCCTCAACTCAAGATTCCCTCTTTTATTATAATTTTTTACTTTAACCCGAACATACAAAGAGCATGCTCAGAAAAGTGAGCATATAAGTGAGTCTACTCAAAAAATGTACTCATGCAAGCTCATTCAACTGAGCATGCTCATGAGAATATTATGAATGTGCTCACTTAAATTTTTTACAACAACTTTATAAGCTCACGTGAGTGCATTCAATAAGTATACTCTTGAGAATATTAAGAACATACTCATGTGAATTCACTCATATGAGTGCACTTACTGAATGTACTCATGAGCATATAATGAGCAAGCTCACTGCTGTGTCACACAATTTTTTTTATATTCTCATATGAGTGCACTTACTGAATGTACTCATGAGTATATAATGAGCAAGCTCACTGCTGTGTCACACAATTTTTTTTATATTCTCATATGAGTGCACTTACTGAATGTACTCATGAGCATATAATGAGCAAGCTCACTGCTGTGTCACACAATTTTTTTTATATTCTCATATGAGTGCACTTACTGAATGTACTCATGAGCATATAATGAGCAAGCTCACTTCTGTGTCACACAATTTTTTTTTTTTTTAATTATATTCTCATATGAGTGCACTTACTGAATGTACTCATGAGCATAAAATGAGCAAGCTCACTTCTGTGTCACACAATTTTTTTTTTTTTTTAATTATATTCTCATATGAGTGCACTTACTGAATGTACTCATGAGCATAAAATGAGCAAGCTCACTTCTGTGTCACACAATTTTTTATATATTCTCATATGAGCGCACTTACTGAATGTACTCATGAGCATATAATGAGCAAGCTCACTTCTGTGTCACACAATTTTTTTTATATTCTCATATGAGTGCACTTACTGAGTTTATTCAAGAGCAAATTGTGTACGTTTTCGATTTAGCTGACATTTTTTAAAAAAACGTCAGCTACCTTAAAAAATCATTATTTGAGATTTTTTAAAAAAATATCAGCTAAATCGAAAACGTTAAAAAAATAATTTTTTAAGGAAGCTGACGTTTTTTAAAAATGTCAGCTAAATCGAAAACGTTAAAAAAATGATTTTTTAAGGAAGCTGACGTTTTTTAAAAATGTCAGCTAAATCGAAAACGTTAAAAAAATGATTTTTAAGGAAGCTGACGTTTTTTAAAAATGTCAGCTAAATCGAAAACGCTAAAAAAATGATTTTTTAAGGAAGCTTACGTTTTTTAAAAATGTCAGCTAAATCGAAAACGTTAAAAAAATGATTTTTTAAGGAAGCTGACGTTTTTTAAAAATGTCAGCTAAATCGAAAACGTTAAAATTGGTGCTCAATAAGATTCAAGCTTCAAAGAACTTAGTTCGCCTGTAAAAATATAATAATTTAAGTATGTGTTATGCCATATATAAATTATTATATATTTACAGACAATAGCTCCAAGGAAAAGTGTGAGATATCAGAAGTTAAGCAACGCAGAAGATATTTCAACAAAGATGGGTGACCAGATTTATATGTTTCCGTCTAAGTATTTGAGATAAAATATTAATAATAATTTCTAACTCTTTCAAAATTATTCACAGAAATTCAAAGAAATAAACGGAACAGTACTTGATTTCAGCTAACCTATAATATTCAAATTTAGCTTAATTAATTTTTTGAATTTTGCAACTTCACTTGAATGCACTCATGAGTGTGCTCAGATGAGCATATACTCATAAATATACTCACTGAGCATATATCTTTTGAGTATCTTCATGAGTATAAGCTCTTTGAGAATATTTATGAGTATATGCTCTCTGAGAATGTAAATGAGTATATTCAATGAAAATGTTACATGAGAAAAATGTTGCATGTGACATGTTACCTTCTCATTTGAGTATGCTCATGAGTTTACTCAATGATCTTATTACATGTCACATAGGAATGTGCTCACTGAGCATGCTCAAGAAGGTACCGTAAGCGCATCACTGAAATGTATGAAAATGAGCACATTCTCACAAAGGCTAATAGGCTCACAAATAATGTGCTCTGAGCATGCTCATTGTATGTTCGGGTAATAGCTTTTCAACTTAAAAAAATCCCCAGCTTTTAAAACGATTCAAAAATGTAATTCCAATACATTTGATCTTGATCCTGCTTCAGTGTCAAAATTGATCATACAACTGCTTTTAGACAAGGAATTTGAAATAATGACTTTAATAATCAGTTTAATTTGCTTCTTTTAATTTTAAACACAATGTGCCTACATATTACAAAATCACAAGGATCAAGCAAAATATCCTCGATTTTTTTATGTTACTTGATGTTATAACTTAGTTGACTTGCTTACCATTTTATCAAATCCAAGTGAATTTTAATAAAACTTTAATGAACAACAAAATTTGAAAGAGTTATACCTTTAAAAATATTTTATATTCTAGGCGTTTAGTCTAAATTTCAGTTTAAGCGAGTGAAATTAAGAACTAAAATCCATCTGAGTATATTCCAACCGTATATTGCAATGAATCTACTAGTATTTTGTAATTTTATCATAAAACACAGAGAAAAGTTTAAGGAGCGAATACAGTCGGAAAATTCAGTACTTGCGTAAAAATAAAAGTGGGCGGATTCATTTGAAAAGACACTGTGATTGGGTAAGAACATGCATAAATTAGTAAATGTGATATCACAATCTCAAGCATTTGATTTATAAAGATTTCATAAACGAGAAACTTTATCAGTTTTTTATACTCCTCGAATCATTATTGACTACTCGAAATAGCACCAGGATTTTGGAATATATATTTCTTATTTTTCATTCAGTTTAAAGGTTGAAAACAGATCAAAGTGACAAAATAGTTGATAATTAATATGATAAAATTAAAATTAATTTAATAAAAGTGGATGACATTTAAACAAATAAAATAAAGACTTCACGTGTTTGATTTAACAAATTGATAACAATGAAAATTTTAAAATAATAACTTAAATTTGAAAATAAAAAATGGAAATAGAAAAGGTAAAGATTGTTATTAAAAGAATTTTATGATTTAAAAGTTAAATTGAAAATAATCAAAATAATGATAAAATAATTGACTAATTCAAAAAAAAAGTGTAAAATTATTAACTTAGTGAATGTAAAGATTTTATAGCAGGAAGTGAAGCAATCTCGCGACGGAAATCGCAGCGTGGAACGGAAATTTAAGAAAATCTTTACGTATTTTTCGATAGTAGGTTTTCACCTCATTTTATAAGAATCATGTTCTAAGGGAATATCATGAAACTTTCAATTTCTTTTTTCCAATATGATAAAATTCAAGAGCAAATGATAATTTAATGGCATTTCCGATATCCGGTATTTCTATAAAAAAAATAGTCTGCTTTAAAGTTTAGGAGTTTTACATACTCCACCCTTTTGTATCATCAATCTATGTATTTTCTTGATCCATTCATTTTCACATTGACAATGGCTTCCTGCTGTTATACTAAAAACAATTAGTATATAATTTCACTCGATTGCTTAATTGGATTGTGCCTGTAGTAATTCTATCAAATATATTTTTTCATGTTGACAATAATGATGGGATGGTACACATATATGTGTTGCAATATATATCCGTCTTGTGGGAATTGACACATTTAGGTGAAACATTATAACGTTCATTCAAACAATTTATTGAACATGTATCACTCTTTAAGAATGAAAATATTATTTCATAGCATGAAGTCATATGTTTACTTAATATCAAATAATAGTTCGCAGGTTTATGAATTAGGTGTTATGTCAACAATTTTTATAAACCATTAATAGAATGATTTTCTAGATTTTCGGCTTTACGGTATTTACTTCATTATTGTTATTGTTCGTATGGTTTAATGTGTCATCAAGAAATGAAAATGCAACTTTAACATACTTTGTATCTTCTTTTGTGTTTTTATTTGAAGGGGAGTATGGAAAAATAAATAAAAAAAAAATGTGATTGGCAAAGGCATCAAAAAAAAATTATAGTGACGAATACCTTTAGTGTATTGAAAAACCAGACTATATAAAAATAGCAATTAGCTAAATTGATATTTCGGTAAATAAAAGTGAGCATATACATAAAAAATAAAAATAAAAGAATGATTGATGTCAAAACAGTGTATTGGAAAATTCGGTTATGATCAGATAAAATTAAAAGTTTGATAAAATAATTGAAAAAATTAATTCAACAATGCGATGCTAGTTTTAGATTAATTTAAATTATTTTTGAGATCTGTTGATTTACAACTATACTCCAATGGCATCATTCTTAAACTGACGGATTGGAAAATTAATTTTCAAACGAGAATAGATTAGAAATTGTGAGATTATTAGAAATTGTGTTCAATCTTTGTCATTGTAATTCAAATAAATACAGTCCACTGTAAAGGAATTGCAATCGTAAAAAAATATTATTCAATGCTCTTAAATTTTTTTTAATGCCAATGTTACTCAAGGCAGTCATTTGAGTTTAAAATAGCAGGGATCATTTATTCGATTCCAAATTTTGTTCTCGAAAGTTAAACCAAAAGACAAAACGACATATACATAGATAGACTAATGTGATATCTAATGTAATAAATTACGGACAAAATTTAACATTACTGTTGCATTCCGTCCGATGTCTTAACAACATCACCTCATTGAAAAATAGTCTAATTAAAGAAATATTCAAGAACCTTTTTGTAAATAACCGAAAAAATGATTTGCAATAATCTTCGCTTTAATTAAATATTGTTTTAATATGACTGCTTCCGAAATCAATATTAAATAGCTAAAATTTCTTTATTAAAAAGATTTCACCATAAAATTAACCGATTAACGATATATAAAGTGAAATATTTACTATTAATCTGAATAAAAGGTTGAATTTAAGTTTAAATTAAATCCCCCCCTGGTTACGCGCCTGTCATGAGTTAAAAAATAGAAATCTATATTCAAATAGCAAATAGCCCAAGTTTATGTTACCCCACATTACAAAAAAAAAATGCTGCATGTCACACTTCAATATTGAGCATGCTCGTATGAGTTCAATTGAGGATGCTCAATAGGGTAGAGTAATGTCACAAGGATTGCTTGAAAGAGCATGCTCACATGAGTGTGCTCAGTTAAAAATTGAGCATGCTCTTGATGTGCTCTTTGCCTATTCGTATAATTAATTTTTTCACTCATGGAGTTGCCCTCCTATAGTTAAAACTATTGCAAAAATAAGATTTCCTTTATTACAGAACAGTCTTCTTTCTGTATCAGAATCGTTGATATCTAATTTACAAGCACAAAATCAACAAAGTAATAGTAACAATGCAGATACTCATAATCACATCAATAAAGCTATCAAAACGTATGGAGATGAAGAGCTAGATCATAAAAATATATTTCCTTCAGTTATGTATGCTCATTTATGTCAAACGGAATCGGAATCAGCAGAAGACGATAGAAGCAACCAAACAAAGAAAATATTGCAATATTATCCACAAAATCAGTTTCATAGTTCAATTAACTCGCGCGCAACTTCCCCATCAAGAACACACTATGCACCACTTCATTTTCCAACACAACAAATTTATAATGGACACGTAAGCAATCTTAATGATGGTAAGTACTTAAATGAATGATATGATAAGAGAAAAAAAGAATTTACCACTTTATTTTCATATAGAATATCTAAGCAATGAATATCGATTAAGGGATATATGGCCACACGATACTTTAATAGAGGAACCTCCATCAGCATTAGGTAGGTCTTTCGTCATTTATTACGTTTTATTTTATAAATCCAATAAGTATCTTATAAAAAAATTGATTTAATTGTTAAAATTGTAGCTTAATTTAAAAAAAAACGATATTGGTTTATCGAATAGCTGTTTAAAGCATGCTTCACGTTTTTTATATACTAAATATGAAAATTCTCTCGGGTTATTTGCTGAAATATTCGATAAAACAGAGTTCAATATAATAGACTGTGCAAACATTTACAAATATTATGAAAATCTTATTTTTCATATATTCTTTTCAATTTATCAGTTCATATCATGGAATGATTTTAGCTTCAAACAAAATAAAGGCTAAGCATATTTAATTTTAAAATAAATTTTTTTGATTTACCAAAAATGAAAATATAAATCTATTAAATTTTGTAAGATCCACTGAATAAAATATATTAAATCATAAAATATAAAGATGTAACATTAAAGCACAATATGAATAAGAAAGCACAGTAGGTGATCAGGATATCTTTGAAGGATAAGAGATGACAGTTCGGTTAATTCAAAATCTTTTTCCTTGATAAATTTTCCTCTTTTTTTTTAGGTAAAGATTTTCGTAGCGAACGTTCATCTTTTGTAGAATTTTCTAAGCAAGGACATTCCTACTACAGGTAGCAACATCTTCCTTTTTAATATATTAATGATGTATATAAACTTCAGCAAATAACATGTGAATTTTTTAACTTTTTTTCTACTTAAAGACTAAGTACTAATTCCTCACTATCGCCGACATCTCAATTAGTTAAAAGAGAATTTAATGAAGGTAAGTGAATTCCCACACATGTTTGCAGAAGAATCTAACGACAAATCACCAGTACATTAAATCCTCAACATCTTAATAATTCATTTTTTCATGTTCTTTAAGAGATTTTCTTCCCTCCCTTCCTTGATATCTTGCTCTGCATGATTTAAGCATTAAAATTGAGATGCTTTTTTGTGTGACTTGTTTATATCTACAAAATGCCCAAAAGTCAGAAACTTAGAGAAATACTGAAACTTAAATTTCGAATATCCTGAACTTTAATAAACCTTGTCCAAAGTAGGCAGTCACGATTTCTCGGTCCCGCAAAATTATCGGGAACGGGACAAAAATTTAAATTCAAATATCAAGCATGTTCCTTGAAATTGTTAAGATTTTTGGTGTTTAAAAGATGACATATTTCAAAATTGAGATGATTTAAGTTAAATTTTTTAAATAATTATTTTTATTCATCGAGATGATTCAGTTTAAAAATTTGCTTTCAGTCTCGAAAATTTCGGGAACGAGAAATCGAGAAAGCCTTATCCAAAGATTTGACTAAGTTTAACTTCGTAAGTTTTTGTGAATTTTTAAAGTTAAAGTTTTTCATTAAAGATCGAAAAAAATAATAATCCACAATGATTCAGAATCGAAAAAAATGTTCAAAAATTCAAAAATTTCATGTTAATTAAACTATGTCCTTTAAATGCCAGATTAAAGATCTTAACTTGAGGCATATCCTATGAAAATATCTCGTCCCAATTTGATGTCTAACTCCAGAAATCATTAATTTAATCTCACCCAAAATTTGTTTACAATTTGTGTATGAAAAAAAAAATATGATTTTTTCTACTTTAAGTTGTTATTTGGATGTCTTGGAAGCAGTTACTAGCTAATTTAAGCTTAGCTTTACATACTAAAACAACCAACTCAATAGAAATCTGCGTATTAAGCCTTAAAAATGGAATTGAAATCTGAGTATTTTTACACTACTTAAACTATTCATAAGTTAAAAAGTCTTCCAAAGACCTCTCTGAAACCTATATAAATCCATTAATTAAGTTAAAATCTATCTCCCATATTACTGAGGACATGCCGTTTGATGCCGTTTTCGAGATATTTGCGATCAAAGTTTACATAAATTTTCATACAAAATTTGATCATGCACAATATTTTTTGATAAACTTTTACAAACTTTTGGTAAAAAATCATGTTTATCCTTTATATTAGGGACTAATTTTTTGAGCAATGAACGAAAACATTATGTAGATGATGCTAAAAGATTCAAATCAAGAGAAATTAACAAAAACTTTCAATTTTCTAATGTGTTGGAAAAATATTGTGCACAAGGAATTTTTGAACATTTTTTCCGAATCTGAATCATTGTGTAATCTCATAAGAAAGTTTGTTGAAAATATTTCCAAAAAATGTAAAATCGATTGAAATTAAAATTGAGAATCTGTTTAAATTTTCAAGGAATATTCATAATCAAAAATATTTAAACATTTTGTTTTGGTGTAAATTATTTTGAGAAGCTAAAGAAGAATTTTTGCATACATAGTTAAATGGTTGATTAAAAGCTTTCCAACGATACCAAGTATGTAATTAATCACAATACAGCCACGGCACACTTAAGTCTTTTGTATACAATTTACTAATTCAAAGGCTATGTTGAAAGCGCCCAATGCAAAAATGAATCAAATCTAGTTCCTTTCTACCTTAAATTCTGCTAAAAGCGAAACGTATTTGTACTTCTCATCTTTTCACCCCATGAGACTTGTATTGTTAACAAAATAACATGTCTCTTTTCATCAGTGGGAGATTGGCTTTGAAATAAAAATCCAAGAGAATAACAAAAAAAAATCTTTAAAACCATTTATTTTCATATTGAACCTAAAATGAAAAAAATCATGCTTAATTTGATTTTGGTTTTGCGACTTAATGAAATCAAAAAAATTTTATAAAACAATTAATTCTAATTATTACAAATGTCTAAAATTATATTAATATTCATAGTCCATAAAGAACATTAAGATGATGATTGTCTAAGAATATAACATTTAAATACCGATGTTATAATGTTGTGCCTATTTTTTATGAAACATAGATTACTGGACAGTATAAGAATGAGAAATGAATTTTTAATCGTTCCTCTAAATAATATACTAGCTCAATTCGTAATGCTTTCTGATAACGTTTGCATTTTTGTTCTGGAAAAATGTTCATCTCTTCTGTACTGGAAAATGTACATTTTTCCTCGTGATTAAACATATTTTTTTTGTTATGAATTTTTAATAATCGCTTCTCTCTCTCTCTCTCTCCATCGGGTATTTTTTCACTCTATCTCCCTCCATACTCTCTGAAAGGAAACGCGTGCATGGATATATTTAAGTTACTTATAAAAAAAATCCATAATGAAATCAGTTTTTAACATTCATTATTAATTTATATGTTGACTCTATCTATTTATCTTTTGTTTTGCGAAATGTGTACATTGGATGTGCATAACTAAAAGTATGATGAATTTTCCCAAGCAATTTTACGCGTATGAAAAAAAAGAGTAAATTTTCATTGTACCTATGAAAAAAAAACAATGTTGAAACAATGTTCAAATAGGAGCATTAAGATAGCATTCGAGGTAAATAGATTGAGGGATAATAATAAGCGAGGAGCGTTCATAAGAGCAAGTGGTAAACATATTTATTTAAAAGGGGTTGGTTGGATAGTCTCCTGATATTGAATATAGAAAAAAGCATTATTTATTTATTTGTTTTTGCTTTTTCATCATGATGCTTAAAAGATAATATTAAAGTCAAATATTTATGTAAACATTAAATTCTCATAAACAATGTAGCTATTTAACTTACTAAGTCAATTTTTTTCTTATACATCATTATACACTGATACTAATGAGTTATTACTCAGACAATCCCATTTCAATTACGCTTCAACAGATGAAATAATGGAATGGATGATTTAGGGTAATTGTAAAAGGGTTAATTCCATTAATAATGGTGGAAAATTCATTTACTTTAATACTTGAAATGTATTATTATTATTTAATCGTAAGGAAGATGAATTGTGGGAAAAAAATTGTACTTTTCTACTTAAAAAGGCAACATTTCATTTTTTGGATTCTTATGCTGTAAAAGAAGAAAATGATTTGGGGGATTTTGCAGGATTTTTTTTTGTATTTTTTGTGTGAACGCGGATTTAGTATAATTCTGGTATCAACACGTTTTACTTATAAATCAATTGATTTTTCACATCTTTTGTTATGCAATTGACGTGTGTCACGTCAAACACTCTTCGTTTCTCATTTGCGCGTATCTCTACCACGAGAAAATTTTAATCTAATTTTCTATATATTTTCTTTCAATTTAAAATTATGTTTTCATTGTGATGAATTTCTTCGAGCTAAATCGCTGCATAGAATTAAAAATTAAGATGATTTATTATTATTTTTTCTTCATTCGCAGTCGGTTGGCATCATCCATACAGTTTTTCAGATCATCAGATTTATGCACCATCTCCATCGACTACATTATATCAACAACAACCTGATTCAACATCATCCTTACATCATCAGACCACTAATTCTGAAATGGTTTATTATAATAATTCAGATTCTTCAGATTTTGTAACAACAACATCCAACTCACATCTTACAACACCAACAAGTACTCATCAACTTCAAAGCAATAATTTAAATTCACCATCTATTAATTTCCAACAACGTCGTGGATCGCTTCAACTGTGGCAATTTCTTATTGCTCTTCTTGACGAACCTTCATCAAAGTAAGTTCCAAGAGTTAATTTTTTACTTCTTCTTACGCTTACCGACCGTATAATTTCATTTTTTAGTAGTTCATGCATAACGTGGACAGGAAGAGGTATGGAATTCAAGCTAATTGAGCCTGAAGAAGTTGCAAGAAGATGGGGAGTTCAGAAAAATAGACCAGCAATGAATTATGACAAACTTTCAAGGAGCCTACGATATTATTACGAAAAAGGAATTATGCAGAAGGGTAAGATAAATTAATTTTCTCAAGGTCCATAATAAAATAAAAATAAAAGCATTGAAGAAAATTTTTGGCTTATCAGTTGTATGATACAAATATACTAAATTCGGGATTTGGGCGCAAATAAATAAAAATCAGAATCGTTTCTTGATCTCAAAAACCCACCATAAAATAATTAAAAAAGATTTTTTGCATCAAAAGATCTTCAATTCTAAAAAAGTTTATTTTCAACCTTTAGAACCCTACAAGTTCCCCTCCAGTTCATGAAACATATAGCTGCTATCAAAACTCTAGAACTTTTAAACTAGAACGATAAAACCTACAGTTCCTTTCTATGCTGAATATCCATTACATCCGTAATCTAATATATAAAAGCCCAACTCACTGATTCACTGACTCTGGAACGGAAGCCATGTGAAGACAAAAATTTAAAGAGTGTTGACAAGGTGGTTGTCAGGTGGGTATGGGTGTCTGGTGGGAGGTGGGGGGTGAATGTCAGGTGTGGGGGGTCAATGTGGGTGTCAGTTGGGGATGCGGGCAAGTGCGGTGTCAGGTATGTTTTGTGAAGCCAATTATGTGAGGGGTGCTGACAAGGTGGGTGTCAGTTGAAGGGTAGGGGGTCCGAATTTGAGGGGGTTTGTGGAAAAAGTCAGGAATATTTTGTGAAGCCATATAAAATTTTGTGAAGCCATGCAAAGCTTTGTGAAAAGACATGGTGGGAGTCGGGAGAAGTAAAGTTTTAGTGGGATTAAGGGGGTCCGAGTTTGAGGATGTTTGTGAATCCATGTGAAGTTTTGTGAAGCTATTTATAAAGTTTTTGCGGGATTAAGGAAGTACGAGTTTGAGAGAGTTTGTGAAGCCATTTATAAAGTTTTAGTGGGATTAAGGTAGTTCGAGTTCGAGGGGGTTTGTGAAGTTTTGTGAAGCTATTTATAAAGTTTTTGCGGGATTAAGGAAGTCCGAGTTTGAGGGGGTTGTGAGGTTTGTGGTAGGATTGACCTTAAAAACATTATGGTTATTTGCGTCTTACAGTATTTACATAATAGTAATCAAATTTTAACCCTGATAAGAGGAGCCAGGGGCGCCTCCGGATTGCCTAGTTATACTTAGAATAGCTGTAAAATTTTCGATAACCAAAAACATAATTAGAATCGGGAATTGTCAAACGATAAAGTTCTAGTTTTTTGTATGAAATTACATACTTCACAAATGCAAAAACTCAATATTGTAGAAAATGATCAAGTTTTTGCCAAATATTTCTTAAAATTTTCATACACGAGGAAAAAAACGTCCAAAAAAAATTTTAAAAAGCTGTGGAAAATCAATCAAGCAATCCCACAGCCTTTTAAAGAAATGTAATAGAAAAGACTAAATTGTAGCTTCTGCAATATTTACAATTTATAAAAGTATCGTCCTTATTAGCGATAAAATGGCATCAGTGACCTCAAACCAGTGTATGCTCAATCCCAAGGCCAAGTCAAGTTTTAGTAGCTCTTTTTCAATTTCACCGAGGTACGAAGCTCGGTTTGTGTGTAGTTTTGAGGCCTTGGGCACATAACGTGTCTCCTTTACTAGGTATACTAGCATCTGGATGATTTCATTACAGAATTGTGACTAGGTTCATTGTAGTGTGCATCGGGATTTTAGATGTACTCGTGTCTTTGCAATGTGCAGAGCTTGCAAGTGGTTCTTATTCCACTATAAACTGTAAGTCTAAAGGGTGTGGTACAATAGATTCTGTTCTAATTTGAATCGCAGTGCCGACAGCTCAAAAACAGGCTGGGCCCTCTCCATGCTTTACTTTTTTTATCATCGTCACTATCAATGTCAAAAGTAATGTTCTGTCCAGGGGCGTAGCCAGAAAATTTTTGAAGGGGGGGCCCATTTTTGAAAATTAAAAAACCGTTATTTTGTATCCTTAAATCTATATTCATTCTTCATAAGTTTAAATATTTAATTCATTATTCATACATTAAATTTAAGTTTTCGTGCTGATTTTGACATTTCTTTCATCACTTCCTCTACATTAACTGGTTCTTCTCTATAAATACTTAATAAAACAATTATCAGATTTTCGTAGGGGGGGCCCGGGCCCCCTATGGCCCCCCCTGGCTACGCCCCTGGTTCTGTGTATCAGAAAAATGAATTTTAACTAACCATAACTCCTCTACTTATTTGAAATAAGTCAAAAATTGTATCTCTGCTTATTTGGGATTTAAAGTGACATTTAATTTTCAAAAATGCTACCATTTAGAGATAAGTTAAAAATGTATATTAAATTTTAATTTTAGTTGCAGGCGAGAGATACGTTTACAAATTTGTTTGCAGTCCGGAAGCTCTTTTTAATATGGCTTACACAAATGCATCAGAATCAAATCGTTCTTCTGTTGAAAAAACTTCTTATTTTAATCAAAGTTATACTCCTACGTCATAAGTTTAGAAATCCAATTGAATAAATAAAAATAATAATAATAATAAAATGTAATTTAAAATACAATTTTTTGTTTGATGAATTAGGTATTTTAGTTTATTGTTTATTAGTTATTTCAAAATGCTTAAAAATGTATAATTATAAGTTTTAAATGTAGTCCCGAAGCTGAATCCTTTTCAATTGAAAAGCATTAAATCAAAATCTGGAAGTTAATATGGTCGTTGACGATTAAAACCACCACTAGAGCCACCGCTTGATCTTTCTCCACCTCTCATACCACCTCGCGAGAAATTTCGTCCACCTCGATCATCACTTCGATTAGGCCCTCCAAAACGTCCACCAGATCCTCCTGACCCACCACGACTGCTGCTTCCATTTCCATCATCTGACTTTGGAGCATTACAACGATTACATTCTTTTCGCCATGCAAAATTCTTATTGCTACATTCTGAGCAAATCCAATCACCATCACGATGTTGTCCACCACTGTTTCTTGATCCTCTATCATCACGAGACGGACCACTAAAGCTTCTTGCTCCTCGATCCTCACGAGGTGGCCCACTATTATATCCACCACCTCCCCGTCTATCGCCTATTTAAATGCAAATAATTTGATTACTATAAACTAGAATTGACGATTTCGGAGCATCTGACAGACTCGAGAATTCTGGAGAATTTTTTGAAAAATGTCACGCGACACATTCGCAACATAATTTCAGAAAACAGAATTTTTTAACAGATTTCTGGAGAATTTTTTATTTTCATATAAATTGTTGAAGACTCTCTATACTATTTTACTTACAGTTGATGTAATTTTTCGTAAATTTCGCTGGTTTTGACTATGGTTCTTCTTTTAAAAAAGATTAAATAGAAAATGAGGAACAGAAGTTTGCAAAAGTTTATAAAAATGGATGTTAACATTTAAAATATAAATGATACAAGAATAAAAAGTGGAAACAAAATCCTAAACAATGATAGTAAAAAAAACTAGGAAATACTTCCGAATGGCTTCGATTTAAATCCAGCACCATGCCAGAGTCACACCAAGTTGATGATGGATTTCTGATTAATTAACCGACTTGTGCCTTTCGGGATAGAACCAAATACTGAATGATGCATTCAAACAAAAAATATTAAGGGGCCGTTCACTTATTACGTTACGCAAAAAACTTTTTTCACCACCCCCCACCTCCCCCCTTGTTACAACTCACAACCCCCCCCCCCCCTAAACGTTCATAATTTATTTTATCATTAAAAAGGTGGAAAATTTAAAAAAATGTTTTTGGTGTGAATTTTTTCACATTGAATTCGTGCTAGAAAGCATTAAAGATTATTAATAAACAATAGTTTTTAAACTTTTGCACGCTACTGTACCAAGTTTTCTATGCAATCTTTTTGTGAAAGGAAAAATCATAGTCAAAACCAGCAAAATTCACGAAAAATTACATCAACTAGAAGTGCTTAGCTGCACTTGTCTAAGCTATAAACACCATCTGTATTTAAAGCTATATGTTATTTATACTACAGCTGTAACTTACAGCTGTAAATTGATTTTTACGTAACGACGTAAGTTCATCTGTAATCTGATCTAAACAGTAAAGAAGGTCTTCAACAATTTATATAAAAACTATTACAGAATTCTGTTTCTGAAATTATGTTGCGATTATTCTGCGAATAATTCTGCAGAATTCTCGAGTGTGCCAGATGCACTTCACCCCTTTTTTTAAAGCAAAAAAAGTCTTCCTAAAAACTTGTAATTATTTTCAATTTTTTTCGAGACTTCCCGGGGAGTCAAATTTGATAGGATTTACTTTTAAATTGCTTGCAAGAGTATGAAAAATTATCAAAACTCCTCCAAATAAACAACTATAGCAATTGGCACATAAATGAATAGAACCAACCTCCACGATCTCCTCTATCGCTTGATCCGAATGTCTTTTTTGGACCTCCTTTTTGCCATGTATTGGTTCTTTGAGCAAGTTGAACTTTAATGACATTTCCGCTGAAATCCTTTCCATCAAACCATTGAATAGCTCCAGAAGCAGCAGCAGGATCATCATAAGTTATAGTACATTCTCCTTTTCCTTTGCCTGATTCTTTATCGCGATAAATCCAAATTTTTGGTTTATTTGTTCGCTTGTCTTTCTGTAATTTAAAGGTGATCAAGAAGAAAAATATGCAAATTACGTTACGCAAATAATTGGCCGATTTTTTCGAAATAAATTAATTTTTAATAGAAACAAAAACACTTCGATACCCATTTCAAGTATTAAAGTAAACTTTACACGATTTACTTTCATTCAGTGTCTCAAAATTTGAAATTTGCTGATGCTTAGCCGAAATTTAAGCCAATCGACTTAGTATCTGATTCGACTATTACACAGAATCATAGTAAAGCTCAGTCTTAATACTTGAAATGGGTGTTTAATGGCTTTTTTCTATCAACAAAAACAAAAATTGATTTAAACCGGAAAAATCGGCTTCGATCTCTAAATAAAATAGTGAAGGCAAAATGTACCTTAATGATGCCGATGGCACCAAAATGAGTATTGATATCAGATTCAGTCACTTCAGTGTCCATTCCGCTGACAAAAACAGTATCATCTTGTACAACCATGTTGTCGTTGCCTGTAAAGTTATAAAATAAAAATATAAAAAACATTTCTTTGACAAGAAAGAAAGTAAATATATCAAAGGCTAAGGGTCTCTTATTAATAAGTCATTTTAATAATCACACGAAAATTGCACAGAATGCAAATTATGTGGAATCAAGAAACTATTTACACTAAATTATTGATCAAAAGCAATTTCAAAGCAACTGATAGACCCAAAGCATGAATATCAATTTACTCGAAGGAAGTTGAGAAGAATAAAAAACGACTTTCTGATCTCATCAAAAATACCATAAATTCAGTAGTACAATTAGGAATAAAACATTTTACCGAATCATATGCATTCGGTATTTTACCTTTATTAAAACCACCTCTGTTGCTTCTGCTGAATGAATACACACATAAACACATCATGAAATGAAACCATTAATATTTGAACTTTTCTTCTTTTTTTTTTGCATATAATAGCATATAAATGCACAAATCATTTTTCAAAAAAGATTGTTATTATTATTAATGAAAAATGAAGAGTTTATTTATATGATATTCACTGATCTTTAAAGAGGGCTTTAGGATTTTTGTGATCTCTTAAGGCCCTCTAAAAATCTCATTGTTTTTCATGATTTGGTTTCATTACGCTCGTCGAATTTTTAACGCTTTGGACTATGCGACACATTGCTTTACTTTACTCTTTCCATGTAATTGTAACAAACAAATTTTTCATTAACACATTTTGATGTGATAAATCTTGAAACCTAATGGATGGGATTTAAATTACTCTTAAACAAATATCGTTAACATGACTGCTATGCACATCCAGTAAGCTCAATTTTTTATCAGCATCGTAAAGAATCATATACGTGTCGCAAGAATTACCTTTTTGAATTCTTACCAAATACTTAGGAGCAACCTTTTATTCATTAACGTAATTATTTCTATTTAATTTGCAATATTATTTCATTTTTCGTGAAAAAACACCTCTAAAATATCATGAATCGTCAGTGTAATAGACACCTACCCGAAATTTCCTCCTTTATTAAATCCACCTCCACCACCACGATAATTATCGGATCTTTCATTTTGATAGTCTAAATGATAAATATAGTATTTATAGTAATGTAATCAAATTAATTTTTTTCTTTTATTTGTCTTACCATTATCATAGCTGTTGTTTTGCGAACCATAGCTTTGTCCAAAACTTGGTGGAGGGTAGTTATAATCTTCTAAAATTTTCAGGAGGAAAAATTGAAGCCAGCCATTTTCATTTTATGCATTTTAAATTCCTTATTTTTAAACAATACTTACGATCTCCCATTATTATTTCACTATTTATCGTCGATTTAACTGCTTAACTACCAATTACTTTAATTAGATAATACTTGGATAGCTTATTTCTCGTTTTATTTTAATTATTTTTTTTGCACTGAAAAAAATGCTCTCGGTTTTTAAAGGTTAGCATGGAAGTTATGAGAATTTAAATTGCGCCTATTTGTCATTTTGGCAAAATTCAAAAGTTTTACTCTGAAAGAAACCGTTAAAAAAATTAAGATAAGGTCAATGTGAGTAGTAGTGTTGAAACTGTTGGATTTTATTGAGAATCTGATATTTTTAATGTACTGGAACAAAAAAAAATATATATATATTTTAAAAGGATTTAGCGCATACGATAAGTATTTTCTTCCGACATCTGCGATAATTCACCATTAAAGATGATTTTTATGCGGAAGTCCAAATCACGATTGTTCTGCAAAATCAAAATACATATTAGAATTAACAAATTTTGACATTAGTATAGTTAAGTTATTACCTTTTCATTTGGTTGCATAGAGAAAGTTCCGTAGATCTCTTCTCCTTTTTTAGCCGTAATATAGTCATCTAAGTAAAATACTGTTTGTTTCCAATGTGTATAAGCAGCTTCTGGAGATGTCGAAAATCCAATTCGTTTATGGCATTTTGTAAATTCGACATTAAAGTATGTGACTAAAGCCTGAATGAAATCATTACGCTTTATAGCAAGATGGAATTCGCTTGTGAATGTAAGATCTTCCTTTTGTACAGTGTATAAATCAATTTCCTTGATCAAATAGGAATTGGTAACAACTTGCTTCTGATCAACAACATCCACCAAAGGTTCACTGATTGCAACTTTTCGGATGTGCGACATGTTAAAACCATAAACATCATCCCACCAATTGATCTAGTTTTTTTTAAAAAAATAATGTTTATTTTTTCTGCTGAATTGAAAATATAACAACATTTTACCTTTTCATCCTTGTACTGACGGTCTTCAATCGATGTCACATAGAGAGTACAACGGTCAGGAAACATCATTCCATTTTCTTTATCTAACCACTTATCTCGAGCGTACAAAACTGTGTCGAGCATTGATTCATAAAAGAGACAATATCCCATCCACTCTGAAATAATTATGTCAACTTTTTCGATATTATCTGGAAGCACAACTTCCTCGACTTTTCCTTTGACGACAGAAATTATGTGATCAAGTTTATTCTCCTCAATGATCTTTACAGCATAATCAGCGATGTTTGAGCACTCGATGGCTATTACTCGTGCAGCTCCAGCCTTAGCAGCAAACATTGATAAAATTCCAGTACCACAACCAACATCAATGACTGTTTTTCCTTTAAAAAGATGCTTATTGTGATACATAGCATTCCTATAACTAAGTGTTCGGACCTCATCTTTCAACATTTCTTCGTGAATGCCAAAATGCGCATAAGAATCAAAATAATAATCACGAGAAGTCATTTCTTCTGGCTTTACGCCATCCTTGTCCTTCAAATGATTTCCATTTTCCGTTGTCACCACTTCCATTAACTCTGTCGTTTGCATTATTTCGGTCTAAAATTTAAAATACGCATGTTAAGCATCTTGTATGTATGCATTAAGCATCAAATAAACAAATTAGAGCATTAAAATGCTCAAGATTCTTTTAACCTCAAATAAAATACAAAAACAATGACGATTTTTTTCCTACAGCAAACACAACAGATAATTAACTATAGAACATAACCATATGATCAAAATAATCACTTAATGTCGTTTAAAAGATATCATTTTAAGTTGCATATACCGGCAAGCATTTCAACAGCATTTATTTTTTTAATGTTAATAAAACACATTTAATTTTGACTTACCATTGTTATTCTGCTTGATTGTTTGGTTTAATTATGATTGTTTCTTACGTCCTAGCTCAAGAAAACTTCCTTATTACTTTATTAAATTCTTAGATCAAGAAAACTCAATAAATAGTGAATTACAAGTTTCTTTATTCACAAATGTTTACAAGTGGGTCTTCAATTTGAATCAGTTTGACTCAAACAAGAACAAAATAGACACTGAAGATAAACAATAATTTTTTAAATCTTTTATGCTTAAATTTTTTCAAGGTAAACTCAGGTAATCTTAATTAAGAAGAACAACAATTTCGTAAGAAAATGAAAGACAGTCATGACTGACTTTATATATAATTTACCCAAATCAACTTTATTCAATTTATAGACCCCCTTGCATTCATGTTTTTGAATTTGAAAAGTCGTTAAATTGCCGGCAAAAGTTTATGAAGACTCAAGACTAACTTCACTCATTGGCTCAACAAAATTAATTCCTTCTCTTATATATTTACGAAATTGGGCAATTAATGTTGCATCGAATATTGAGGATCTTGCAAGAATCTCAATCACTTCATACTTTTTTTGTTTAAGTTCAAGTGTAGATCCACTTTTTCTACTCATTAAATACTCCACAAATCCGCCAGTTTTGGCAATTCCTTCCTGTCCAAAAGAATAAATGGCAAGAGATTTAACAAGTTTAAAAGCCGCTGTAGACAAATCATCAAAAGGTGTTTTGCAGATGTTTAAAAGTGTAGAAAAGTCTTTTGAGGGTCCAAAAAGTCCAATGCACCATTTCTCACAGATGCTAGTGATTTGATTGTTGATCATTTCCTCATAATCGTCTGGTGCAAAAACTTGCTCCAAGCATAAGAGAGCTCTTACTTTAACATCGTTAGGATAATTTGGAATATTTTGATAAACATGTTCTACAACTTGAACAAACTTGTGTCCGAAATCATTGTCTAACGACTTTTTGCATTCATCAGATTTACTTAAATATCCCAATGTATCTAGTGCTGAATATATCAATGAGGGATGATCTTCTAATATGCAGTTGAATAATAAATCGAAAAGAGAAGAATAATTTTGAAAGATTTTTTGAGGATATAAGGAAGCAACTCCACCAAAAAACTTCATTAAGCCTGGCAAAAGAAGTCCACTCAATGGATCTTCATTGATATCCTCTATTTTTCTCGACAAGTTTTGCAATACATTTTTGTTCTCAAGGTACGATAATCCATAATCTCTCAAACATAAACTTTGAAGTATATCCAGCAGATTCAATTGAAGAAGTACATCTGATCCAGAAGTCAAGTTACTTACACATTTGTCAATTATAAATTGCACCTTTTCAAAGCTTGTAAAATTTTTGATTCCAATTCGTACACATACTTCATAAATGCGACACAATGCTTCTGTTTTAGTTGTATCCAAAGACGGTGATAATTGATGAATTATATCAGCATCATTGAGCAAATCTTCTCGCAGACATTCAACTAACAGCTTTATTGTTGCTGGACCAATGTTAACATGTTCAGAATTCAAGCATTTAATTAGCAATAGAACAGTGCTTTTAGGAACGAACGCTGATATTGCTAGACAATCAGTCTGAAGTTTACGAATTGCTATTCTTTGAATTGGTGGTGATGATTTCAATAGGAGCTCTATTATACCAAAAGAGTCGCTGTCAGCTATCTTGAAATGTGATAAACTTATATCCAAAATATCCTGACACATAAGAGTCACATTATCCCTTAATAAAATTAATTTTTCTATAATAATTATAATTTGCATGAATCAGCATAAATTGCTTACAACTGTATCCAATTTTCAACAGAATTGATGAAATTTGCATTTAAAATGCTTTTTGAGACGTCTGGATTTTGAATTAAAGAATTTTTCAATTCGTTTAATAGTTCTCCAACTTCCTCTTCATTTGATTCCAGTGACAAGTTGTTAATTCTATTAATTATCTCCTGCATTTCAAATTTTTGATTTTATTTTTTGTGTTTATATTTTTATTTTTTTTTCCACTGGAAAATTGAATGGAATGTTTACATTATTTTGAATTGAAAAATAGAGGCATTTGAAGAATTTAAATAGTGCAGATAAATGGTTTTTCTAACAGCATTACGACTAACAAGAGCTCGAGGACCTGACGAATGGTGGAGGAAGCGTAAAGTCTTTAAATTAGCTGCAGTAAGTTTATAATTAAGTTTAAACAACAAATTTATAGCTAAAATTGTGCACATTACTTTAGTTTTTCTACGGAAGAAGGAGAAATTGCTATAGCCTTGCCATACGTTCATTACACAGAGCATTGGTGTATGCTACTAAATCAAGAGCTCTAAAAAAAATGGACCTGATTGAAGTAAGTTATACAAAACTTTAGCAATTATAAGAAATGTTCACATTAAATTACTAATTGCAGTTATGGAAGCAAAGAATTTCTGGTGGTCTTGAAAGTCATGGCTTAGAATACTGGCAATTTATGGATGGACTACACAAAAGCAACATCCAGCTGAATCGAAAAGTGTTGGCAGATTTAGCTGCTTTTGAGCCTGCTACTTTTGAGTCACTCTCAAAAATTGCATTAGATGTTAAAGAAGCTGAGAATGATGAAAACAGTAATAAGAATTAGGTTGTCATTTAATAACATAAAAATGCATAAAAATAGGAAATAAATGTATTTCAAATATTATAGTATAAACTGATTTTTTTTTCATTCCAATATTTAACCTAATACATAAATTGTTGCCTTCCAATTTTCCAGTCGTCGACTGGAAGTCTCTTAGGTTACAAAATCGAGTGAAATAAAAAACAGAAGAAAAATGAAGTTAACTAGTTTTTTATTAAAGCAGCATAATGGCTGGCTCGCGAAGCTCAAATGGAAATTTCAAGGAAAACGAAATGTCTTTGACACTGGCGCAATAACATCGCTTCAAAATCGAGGAATAGCTGTAGTTGATGCAATTGATTATGTTAAGAAAAAAAATAATCATGACTAGTGAGTTTATTAATTAACTTTAGCTATTAACCAAATGTTTTACAATAACTATTGTATTCTAGTGTTCCTCGTTTACAAGAAAGTGCTTCTGAAACGAACCAGTTTTCATCATCTTATCTTTTTTCTGATTCTAATGTTCTGGTCTATGGGAAACAAGCACAGGTTCTGACCAAATCAATCATGCTGAATGCACTTCCAGAGAATATGGAAAGGAAATTTGCAACGTTGAAATTGCCTACAGACATAGAAAGATCAATGCACCAATCAGTACTTGTTTCTCATTTACTTGATGCTGAACAGAAGAAATCTCCGATTAGGGTGCCATTGAGACCAAACAAACCAAAGCACATAATTCGTAAGGAGTACAGCATCACTGATAACCGAAAAAAGTAATACGGGTATGAGAGTTTTAAAAGCAATTTGTTATGTACAAAATGTATTTTTTTTAGTTCACTTATGGCAAGCAGACTTATAAATCATTGTGAGCGATATTTTGGACATACTGAATCGCTGAAAAAGAGAGTTGTTAACGATGTTAGATTCATGGTTCCAATTGTTAGAAATGGAGATGATATCCAGCTTAATTTGAAAGCTGAAACGTTTATAGCATCAAAAAAGCCAATAGAGCCTTTTAATGTTTCTGTCAACATTTCAGTTCCTGATATATCTCCTTTAAGCCAGACTATTTCAATTCCCTTTGAGGAAAATGTCGAAAAAAAGTGCTCATACCGTAGGTTCAACTGTTTCTTAAAATTAGCACAAATAACTTAATTTAAGTTCCCTTTTACAGCAATAAAAACAAACAGTTCTTTCTCACATCCTCATACTGTGCTTATACATTATTCGAATCTGGATGTAAAAAATTTATTCGAAGAACCTGTAACCAGTGAACAATTTGAGAGCAGAGCGATTATGAAGGGATTCACTGTTGCAGCAAGTAGAGCCAAAACTATTTATGGGGTAGAAACATTTTTAATTATTTAAGTACAAAATAACTATCTTAAATACTTTACAGGATAATGTGAAAATATTACAAGAACCTATTACCGTTCAAGTTGTACAACTTGATGGCAAGCGTATCCAATTTGGAATTTTCCAATTAAATACTCTTGATTTAGACGAAATAAATGGTCCGACTAATTATTGGTTTAGAAAACCTGAAATGCTTCTGTACGATGAGTGTATTTATAAAGAAGGAAGACCGCTGTTGACAAATTACAATTTTGATGTTTTTAAGTTAATGAGCATATTTTATAGCAACTAGTTTGTATAATAGAAATAAAAACGTGTACCATAAATCATAAAAAAATAAACGTGAATATTGATTCGTGCTTTAATCGAATTAACGATCAAAATTGTTGCAAACTGTTTGTGGCAAATTACAATTGTTATATTATTATTATTATTTCAAGTTCATTTCGTAGCTTAGCAAACCTTAATCTAAAAATCCCTAAAATTCAGCTACCCTAAAATGCAGATTGTACTGCCAAGATGCAGATGGTACTGCTAAAGTGCAGATGAAATGCTGTTGCTTTAAAAATTTATAGTCCAGATAAACCCTGAGTGGAAAATTATCTCGAGGGCTTATTTGATAGGTCTTTATCCAAGGAATCAGAATCTATTTTAATTTTGGCCCAAAGTGCAGCAGTGATGGAGATATAGCCCGAAATGTATTTTAATGACCTTCGATAGTTAATATTTTCAATTTATCAGAACTTTTTCTTGTCTCAACCAATTTTAATGAAACTTTCTTTAAATGACAGATATAAGTGATGCATTTAAATGTTTTTCTTTTTTCATTAAATTGTAGCCCTTTACTAGATCTGCAAGAAAAATATCTCTTTCAAGGTTTAAAATTATATTTATGCATCAAAAAATTGAGATTTTTTACAAAAAATATACGGTGTTTTACTATGTTTTGACTTCAATTGACTATAACTGCATATTCCAAGTGAGTGGAGAGACAAGTTTTAACTGTTTTATATAGCCCTCACTTGTATTTTCTAAAACTGTGAAAATCTGGAAAAAAGTACCGCCAAATTTTAAACTTTGAACCATTTAAAACATGTCATCTACATGCACCTCAAAAATCTTTTCCAACTTTTTTGATCAAAATCATGTCCAATCTTCATAAAACTTTCAGGAATGTTATAAAATAGTGTTTTTGATGTTTTAAAATCAATTTGAGTTTTTGGCATAGACTTGGACCATTTTTATTTGAAATGTCATCATTTTTGTAAATGACTTTAACTACACTATATGCTTAACAAAAAGTATTTGTATTACCTTTTATGTTAAGCTGCTTAAATTACCTTTGCAACGATATTTAATATGTCATATATGAGTACAATATCCCTGAATAATGTTGAAGAAACTGAAAAATTACTCAAAATTCGAGGTGTGTGAAGAACCATACTTAACATTTTTGCTCAAAACTATATAAAATCTCAAGTATATATTATGAATTTGGTACTGTTGAAAAGATAAAAGTATAAAAGTAGTTTTATTTTTTCTCATGTTTTCTATAGAAACATACTTAAACTATCTGAAAAACACCAAAAATGGTCCAAGTCCATGCCAAAAACTCAAATTGATTTTAAAACATCAAAAACACTATTTTCTTACATTCCAAAGTTTTATGAAGATTGGACATGATTTTGATCAAAAAAGTTGGAAAAGATTTTTGAGGTGCATGTAGATGACATGTTTTACATGGTTCAAAGTTGAAAATTTGGCGGTACTTTTTTCCAGATTTTCACAGTTTTAGAAAAAAAAAGTGAGGGCTATATAAAACAGTTAAAACTTGTCTCTCCACTCACTTGGAATATGCAGTTATAGTCAATTGAAGTCAAAACATAGTAAAACACCGTATATTTTTTGTAAAAAATCTCAATTTTTTGATGCATAAATATAATTTTAAACCTTGAAAGAGATATTTTTCTTGCAGATCTAGTAAAGGGCTACAATTTAATGAAAAAAGAAAAACATTTAAATGCATCACTTATATCTGTCATTTAAAGAAAGTTTCATTAAAATTGGTTGAGACAAGAAAAAGTTCTGATAAATTGAAAATATTAACTATCGAAGGTCATTAAAATACATTTCGGGCTATATCTCCATCACTGCTGCACTTTGGGCCAAAATTAAAATAGATTCTGATTCCTTGGATAAAGACCTATCAAATAAGCCCTCGAGATAATTTTCCACTCAGGGTTCATCTGGACTATAAATTTTTAAAGCAACAGCATTTCATCTGCACTTTAGCAGTACCATCTGCATCTTGGCAGTACAATCTGCATTTTAGGGTAGCTGCATTTTAGTGATTTTTAGATTGAGGTGCTAAGCAACAGGAAATGTTGTTTGAAACGTGCACTTTACATTTAACCTTGATACAAATAAACAAAGAAGACATATCCTGATCGATTGATGTATTGTTAATAATAAACCACATTTCTCATTACTATTTGAACCATAACTTATCAATCAAGGCTGACAAATCTCAATAGTCTATTGATTCTTCTTTTCCTTAAACTGAACTAATATTAATACATGTATGTAAAGTGGAAGTAATGTCGTAAATAGATAGTTCTGATATGCTGAAAAGTGATTCTATGCTGATTTTTCAATTTTATTGATTTTCGCAAACTTTTCCAGCAAACTACTCGCGATGGCACGTGCATTTTCATTATTTTAACCTATTTATAAATCACCAAAAATATAGAGAATTTTATATTATTTGCATAACAATAGTTTCAGTTGATTAGTCAAGACGTTTCTTAAAAATGCAAGGATTATTAGCTCGGCTAAATGCCCAGAAAAATCAGGGCTCTTTATCAAAAGGTGCATCTCGTTCAACATCTATTGCGTCTTCCGTTGATGATTTAAATGATGACGATCGACAAAGTAACTCGGACGAAAGTCAAAATCAGCAGACATCAAACGTTAGGAAGTGAGTATTTTTAAAATGTGTTTTTGAGACTTGCTAAAACGGAAATTGTGTGTAAGCAATAACTTAAAGCTCACTTAATGTATGTTAAAATATGAATAAACGCAATAAACGAAAAATGTGCAGAAACATGGAATACCACAGCATTGATGGAAACAGGGTTGATTTAAAAATGTATAAATTTATTTTACCTGGTATTTAGAGCATGTATGTCAGAAAGAAACAATAAGTTGATTTCAGCATTTGATTTTCTAAGAAGCCAAAAGTTCCTTAAAAACATGATTTCCACATCAGTAATTCAATTTCTAGTTAATGATTTTCACAGCACAGTTTGCGTGTTATTGTCTTTTCTTATAGCTCGCATATTTTATTGAAATAAATTTGAATTCCTTATAAAGCTAGGTTTATACTTGATGCTTTATATGTGCTTTATTTTATTATTGATTGAGAATTGAAGAAAGAAAACTATATTTCAAGGAACAAAGTAGCAATCTACAATTTAAATTTGCCACTTAATCTGGTACCATCAGTAAAAGTGTACTCACTTGAAAAGTTCTTCATTCGTTGCAAGTTTGAAACGACTGATATTCGCATAAAAATTCATTCTGTTAAATATTGGATTGTTTAGTCGTATTGCAAAATTTCATAAATGACAACTTCTTGGAAAGAGGTTTACAGTAAGCTAAGAACAAGTGGAATGATGCATGGCAGAAGTGATGATACGACATCAAATTCTGATGCAGATACAATTACTAGTTCTGGGACACCAAAGTATCATCGTTCCAGTTTAGCTGATCAAGAATGGCAAATGAACTACATCATTAATCGTCGCGATGGACTGTACTTTTTATCTGATAAATTTCCACAAAAAAAACTAAACCTTTTTTTTTCTTTCACAGACCAAAGGTTAAAAGAGACAGAGAAAAAGACAATAAAGATAAGGACAAAAACAATGATAAAAAGCCTGGCTGGAATACAGTGCCTAGCGCAAAATCTCGAATTGACACTAATATGGTGAAATTGAAATTACTGGATGCAACAAGAAAAGCTGTTCTTGATAAGACAAAAAAGCCAGTTACTTCAACTGGTATGCAAACTGACACAATAAAAACGAAATTGTGTAAAGATAAGTTAACCGATAATCAAAATGATTTAATAAATCCAAAAGATGAAGCAACAGAAACAGATCTTGATTTGATAGCGTTAAAATCAAAGGATGGCACAGGTTTGTGAGTCGATTATGCTACGATTAAATTGGTTTTTAATAAATGACATAATTTTCACGAGCAGTTATTGTAACAGCTAGTGTTTCAGTCAATACAGAGAAGTTGGTATCACACACAGTATCTACTCAAACGGTTATGCCACGTTCAAATGTTTCATTTAAAAAGTTTACCGATTCTCGTCATAGAATTCAATATGCAGAGGAAGATTCTGAAGTAGATGACGACGATGAGGAGGCTGAAATGTGTTTAGAAAAAATTGAGCGTCGTTTAAAAGCAAAGAAAAAATTCTCACGTCAAAAATCAACTCAAAAATCAAACATTGAGATCGTAATTGAAGATGACTCATCTGACATAATTGCTATAGAAACGATTCCTGCTGAGTTACCCAACAAAAATAAAACTTCCGATTCAGAATATGAAGACAGCATTCAGGGAGATTATGATGATAAAAGCAGTTCGAAGACGAAGAAAAGTAAAGAATCTACTTTCAACTCATGGAATGATTTAGATTTTGAAGCACAAAAAGTGGAACTGCCTCGAAATTATTTTATTGAAAGTGGACCAACGCCGTGGTCTAATTTTGAGTCTCTTGTCTTAGGACAGCGATTCCTTAACGCACGATTATCTCCTGTTCCTGAAAGAATTTCACGTCCAAAAGTAACATGGAGTGATACTCAAATAAAAGTTGTTAATGATTTAATGAGTGAAGCCACTGCTTTGTTTGCATTATTTGATCAAGTCGCAATGTTATTAGGGCCAGATATAAAGCTTCACAACATATCAGGTACAGGTATCCTTTAAATTATTAAAAAGATGCAATTTTGAAAATTTTCTCTTTTTAGATGTCGAAGAATTTGAATTGCCAGCAAGTAAATATAACGAAGAGTTAACTAAGTCATGCGAGAAACTTGAAGCTTCCTTAAAGCGTTTGCAAAGCCCACACTATTTACCTAAAAGCTCTTAAAATATCTCGCAATGTATTAAAACCTATAAAAAAAAATAAAGTCTTGATAGAAGTGGAATAAAGCAAGAATTGAGAATTTGTCAAAAATTAGTATCAAAGAATTAGATATTTTTATTCAGTAAGTTTATGCCATTGCTCTCTCCATAAAAAATCTTTTGAGTGGTGGGACAGAGTTTGTGAATTTAACGCCAAGACTTCTGGCCAAAACTAAAGGTGTAAAATCATTACAATAGATTCGTTGCAGAGCATGTACACCTAACATGATTGGTAGATTTGCTTTTAATCGTTCTTGTTCGTATTTCAAAAGGTATTGAATATCATTTAAATTACTGCCGTTGTATGTTGCTTCTGATAATACTTCTGTAAGTTTCAGAACATCTCCATATCCTAAATTGACTCCTTGACCAGCCATTGGATGAACTCTATGTGCAGCATCCCCAATTACTACCGCACCTTTACAAGCATAAGATGATGCATGTCCAAAGCCCAAAGGAAACTGAGCACGTGAACCGTCTTGAACGTTTAGTACTTTTGGTGGCATAAGAAGCATTTGATTTGATTTGAAAGGAGAAACTGTATCAACAAATTTCATCACGTTATTGACGACAGAACTCTTTCGATAATCTTTCGAAAAAGCTTCATTAAGAGCATTAACAAATTCACTCGGATCCATTTTCAAAAGCTCTCTGGCATGATCGTACGTTGTCGTCCATACAAGTGAACTTAAATTATCAGTCAATGGCAAAAGTGCGACTGGACCTGTAGAAAGAAATTTTTGCCATGCAATTGTGTTTCCTGAATATTCGCTTGTATCAAGTTCTAATGTTGCTACTACGCCCATTTGTTTATACATTACTGTATAGTTATTAACATCCATTGCCTTACGAATTGTAGAGTTGAATCCATCTGCACCGACCTGTCAATGAAATAAAGAAACGGAATAAAGGAGTGAGAATAATTGATGAGCGTTATTTTAAATTTTAATGCATAAATATTGCATATTTTCGAATGCATGCTAATTATTTAAATTCTCGCGATCTGAGTTCATACATTGAAATTTTCATCTCTTTTGGAAAATTATCAGCTTAGGGACTGTTCACTTATTACGTAACGCGAAAAAATGACTTCTTAGACCCCCCCCCCCCCTCGTAACAAAATTTGTATGAAAAAAAAATTTCCTTGTTTGAACCGTAACAAAATCTTAGACCCCCCCCCCTCCCCCTAAAAGCGTTACGTAATAAGTGAATGGCCCCTTAGCTTCTTTTTCTTTTTCAGAAATTGAATGAGCGAACATGAATGGAAAAAAGAGATTTTCATACGTTCACTAGTAGAAATTCAGCCTTCGATCAGGTAATAGCTAGAGCTTAAATAAGTGGAATTTTATAAAATTTCTTGTGAAAAATTGTTATAAAATCTTAAAAATTATTCGAAGAATATCTGCTTAAATAACTCACTGGTAAAGTCGATCATTTTACATGCTTTTATTTTAACAGCATTTAAAAGATATGTTCTATGCCAGTCAAATCAAATCGTGTTAACATATGACTAATTATTTGTTTCATAATTGACGTTGAAAAATGTTTTCTTGATAAAATTATAGAATTAAAAATAAAAATCACGGCTTATTCAAAAATAGACAATTTATAGAAAGACATTGAAAAATCTCGAAAAAATGCACTTTTTAACTTTAAAAAAATCCAAATGGAAAGAAAATTCTCAATGCTTTTCGTCATGTTTGTGTTCAATTAGCGGATAAACAAACAATAAATTAAATTACATCTCCTTTATTCTTATTCAAAAGTAATGCTAGAACACAGATATACAAAAAGATTTTTGTTTAAATAAGAAACTAAAAATAGTGAAGCTTCTTGTAATCTGATTGAATTAAATAAATTATTTTAATGACCTCTCCCAATGTTTATTTAGATATTTTAACAATAAGCATAATGATAGATTCAGTACGATTCTCAATTATTGTAAGTATTTGTTTTATTGTATTTATTTTAAACACGAGGAGAAACTTATTATTTTAGGAAAATGATTTAAATCGAGAAGAGCATGAGAGGAGTATTGACGATGATTTGAGAAGTATTTCAAGTGAGAGTAGTGGTGAAGGCATTGCAATATCTTTTGCGTCCAAAGAGCGGTACTATGATGAATGTGAATTTTATGACATAGCCGAAATTGAGTCGTGTATTAAAGGATTACAAAATGCAGAAGAAATTGAAATGGCAATTAAAGGCAATAATTACAATTATGTATTTAGAAGCATTGCTGAATTGAATGTAGGAATAATGCTTGCTGTTTGGTTAAGACATGTGGAGTTTGCAGCAATTCTCTTAAGACAAGGTGCTAATCCAAATATTGTTGACAAAATGGATAGATCACTGTTGCATTATGCATGCATTAAAGGTAATGGGCCAATAACAAGACTTTTGCTTCATTTCAAGGCGAATCCAAATGTTTGGGATAAACATCATAACGTCACACCTTTGCATTACGCTTCAATTACAGGGAGTCCAGATTGCATTAATTTATTAATCAGAAATGGAGCTCAAGTTAATGCAGGAATTGAAAACAAATCAGCGTTATTTTATGCTGTACAAAAGAATCATATTAAATGTGTCAATATCTTATTACAATATGGAGCTAATCCAAATATTTCATTTATGAATAATGAATCACCGTTACATATAGCAGCTGAAATGGGATATGTTCAGTGTCTTAAATCGTTACTGTCGCATGGAGCTAATGTTAACTCAATCACAGGAAGTAAGCGCAATGCTCCGCTTCATTTAGCTGCAGAGGATGATTTTGTTGAAGGCGTAAAACTTTTATTAGATCATGGAGCAAATATTAATATAAGAAATGCTGATCAGCAAACTCCATTACACATTGCATGTCTTGCTCAAAGTGTAGAAACAGTAGATATCCTTATTCAATATAAAGCAGATATTAATTTAACATATCGTGACGGACGAACAGCTTTACATGCATCAATTGTTAAAGAAACGAGTTCTTGGGACTGTACGAAAATGCTCCTGGATTGTAAAATAGAAGTAAATAAACCAGATAATTTTGGATACACCTCTTTACATCTTGCTGCTCTTAATGAATTTGGTGGTTGTGTATTAATGTTGATTGAATATGGTGCTGATATCACTGCGAGAACTAATGGTGGAGTTACTGCTTTATCATTCATTGTACGAAGAACCCCGGAAGTTATTCCTAAATATTTTTCTAAACTTGATTCTTCGATAAAAGTCAATGAAAGTGAAATTGGAGATGTTGATTGTGAAATAAAACTAGATTTTCGATGTCTTGTGCCAAGTTATGAAAAAGGAGAAACAGAACTCCTTATCAATTTCATAGAAGTCGGGCAGAAACGAATTCTTAAACATCCATTATGTGAAACGTTTCTATTTTTGAAATGGAGACGGATTAGAAAGTACTTTTTATTCAGCCTCTTTTATCATTCAGCCTTTGTCCTGTTATTTACTATCTATGCTCTTGGAATTTTTGTAAATCACTGCCCACCAAACTGTGAAAGTGATGTGTATTTAAATAATTTTACGATAGTTGGATATGTGACGCTATTCTTAAATTTTACAATTTTGGCAAAAGAAATTTTTCAACTTTTTCATGGATTTTCAACATACTTGCGAAGCTGGGAAAATTGGTTGCAATGGAGCATCATTCTGGGAGTATTTTTATGTGCTGTAAGTTATTATTATCAATGTTGTTTGACGAAAAAAAAAAAATTGATGTTGATTTAAATTTGTTTAGTGTCCACACATGCACAGAGACTACAGAGAGGAAAATACCATTGATCATTGGGAATATCATGTAGCCGGAATTGTTATATTTCTTGTGTGGCTTGAACTTATGATGATAGTCGGAAGATTTCCTATTTTCGGGCTCTATGTTCAAATGTTTACCAAAGGTACGATACACAAATGCAAAGTTTTTGGAAAGTTTAATTACTAATTACTTATTTTCAGTTGCTGCAAACTTCTTTAAATTTCTTATGGCATATAGTTGTCTTATTATTGCATTTGCATTGAGCTTTTGTATCCTTTTCCCAAACTTTAATGCGTTTCATAATGTACCACAGTAAGTATTCTAATTAAAATCTGTTCAATAATCATTTATAGTTTTATTTTTAAAAGATCTATATTGAAAACCTTTGTCATGATGATTGGTGAATTAGAATTTGAGGACATGTTTCATCCAGAATTAAATGAAGAAAGCAAAAACATTATTTTACATCCCGTAACGGCTCACATAGTATTTTTCATATTTTTAATGCTTGTGACTGTCATTTTAATGAACCTTCTTGTTGGATTAGCAGTTAGTGATATTCAAGGATTGCAAGCGTCGGCTGGTTTAAACAGATTGAGTAGACAAGCAGAATTAGTATCAAGACTAGAAGGTTTATTGTTTTCTAAAATTTTATCAAAATTTCCTTCAAAGTTATTAAATTTTTTAAGACGCGAAGCTTTATTAAGAACATCTCGATATAATTTGCAACTGAATATTAGACCAAATGACCCACGTGAAAAAACAGTAAGATGCTTAATTGTAGTAAAACAAAATGTAATATTAATAAATTGCACTTGTCATTTTTTAGATCCCGAAAGATATTATGGCTTCAATATATCGCTTAGTAGCAGAAAGAAGAGATCGAAATCAAAGTCTTAAGAGGAAACGAAACGCAAAAAATTTGAATATTTTTAAGGACTCTATTGAAGAGATTCAATTACGACGACCGGAAATGAATAGAGCTCAGAGTTTTCGAAAAAGAACTGCTTCAGATCAGTTAACAATGCCAAAAAGTTCTAAGTCACAAGTTCAAAATGATAGAGATAGTATAGGAATTTTAAAGAAAACAAATGAAATATTTATAGTAAATGTTAAAAATCAATTAAGTGATTTAAACTTAAAAATAGATAGTATGAATAAGAAGATTGAAGAAATGTCAAAAGTCATTTTAACAAAACATGAATTAAATGCTTAACTTACCAATAAATCACACGTAAATTTTTCTCCAGACTTTAATGTCACTTCACTCTTTTCAGCTCCATCCTTTGGTAATAGACAATAATCAATTTTGGCCTCATTCATAATTCTCACATTAAGTAAATCATTGAGCTGACGATACATTCCTTCCAACATCAAGTCATTTTCAACAATACAAGCTACACTGTCACTAAAATTTGGATGGTTAAAATTGATGGATTCTCCCGAGATAGCATCCCAAACCTTTTCACAAAGAAAGATAAAACTACAATACATAATGAGCAAATAAAAATATATATCTGTTTCCATACCTGCATTTCCATTACAGGTTTGTATCGAATAGATTCAATAAAGTCCCAAGCATTTACTGATTTCAACAGTTGAACTGATTGTTTATTAATTGCTGATACTCTATTGCTAAATTTGCTCCTTGATTGTGGCTTATATTCTGAAGCTCCTTCCAGCATTAATATCTTTTTATTGCATAATGTTTCATTTTTTGCTGCAAGTTTTAAAAGTTGCTAATAAATAAAACATACAAAATATTTTTTTAAATACCTAATGAGACTAATAAAGATGTTCCCACGAGACCTCCACCTCCAATTATTACATCATAATGTCCTGCTTCTTTTGCTGCTAATGTGCCTAATAATCTCTTTCCGCAACCACTATTAATTCTTAATTGCAATATTTTGAACATTGTTGACATTTCTTCGTTTTGTTCTTACTGAATTCAAATGTTTTTAATTCCGTTATTTCTTTTAAAACAAAAATTGGTTCTTTTACAGATTTGTGAGTTTGTTGCTGCTACTTCATTTAGCTAATATAACTTATTTCTAATAACTCTTTTTTAAGATATGCATAATGGACTGATTTTGTGATAAAAAAAAACAAACATAAATTTTTCGTTAAAAGCTTCGTTAAATGCAGCTGAAAGCTTAATGATTTTTCCACATAGGTAACATAAAAAAAGTTTTTCTTTTTCGATTTTCACAAAGAAATATAAAAATTAAAATGAGTGGATTTCTTGCTGATTTCAAAAATTAAAAACTAAAATCCTTAAAGAATATAATGGTTTATCATCAAGTTAATATAAGTAAATGAATAATTTGCGATATATTTGCTGATAAATCGTTTTCAATAAAAAGTTTGACTTGCAGAAGAAATGAAGGAAAATATGCTCTCAACATCAACATCAAATAGTAGTTTCCTTAATGCAGGAAATTACGCAGATTTAGATGATCAAATGACAATATTGGATTGTGAAACAAGAAACTTTCACAGACCTATGTCAAAAGTTAGAAAAATGGCTTTTATTGCATCAATTGTGAGCATATTTTTTGTCCTTATCATCTTTCTACTTCTTCCCTGCAATAAAAATTGTGTCTCAAAGCATCACATTACAAAGCTCACAAAAACCATAAATTGGATGAGGAATTATGAGAATGTAGAATTTAAAGGAAAGATTAATACGATAAGAACGCTTAATGTAGAAAACACTCCATTAAATCTGATTTTTATGTATCGTAGTGATAAATTTTTTCCAAATAGTGATGTTAAAAAGTCGAAGCAAAAATCAAGTGGTGGAATTATCAAACTGAATGGTAATTCAGGAGAGATTGTATGGAAAAATGAAATGACAAATGAGCCCCGGTATTTAGATTGTAGCTTAATTGACTGTAATAAGAATGGTAGAAAAGATTGTCTGATAATTGACGATTATGGACAATTGGCTTGTATTGATGATACAGGTCATTGGATTTATTACAATTCAAATTCAAAAAATACCAAACAAGAACGTCAAGAGATATATGATTTTCCTTTAATCATTCCGGATTTGACATCAGATGAAGTTTTTGAAATAATCATGGGAAGCTACAAGAACAATGCAACTTATTTGGCTTTGCTGTCTGGATCAAATGGAAAGTTACTTGCTGAAGAAATACAAAACTGCTCTTACATTCATAAATTACAGTTAGACACAGAATATGTAATTAAATTTATATGCGTTGTAAAGGATAACACTGAACAGCAAATTTTTAAGAATCTTACCGATTTTTATGCGCTAATGTCTAAGAAGCCAAAAATTGCAAAAATACAATCGACTTCTTCTATTCCTCAACATGAATACGCTGATAAGTTTGTCTCTGCTAAATCGCAAACAACAGTCACTAAAATTTTTGATAAGGAATTGAAAATCGAAAATAAAGGATCATGGCCACGTGAGAGTAAAATGATATTAAAATTAACTAGTATCGAGAATGGAATTAAAAAGATCCATTATAACTATTCAGGCAGTAAAATATATGGATTTATACCTGTTAAATTTTCAGTAAATATGACATCAATTAAAAGTCATGGAAGTGATAACATATACGGTTTCATAGTAAAATTTTGGACATGGAATGGAACAGAAATAAGCTATAATTCTGAAAAGAGAAAAATGAAACGCGAAGTTAATCAAGTTGAAAAATCTTCTAAGAATATGAAATCACAAAGAAGTAATTTTACAAATCAAACTTACAATAATGTTTATAAAACTAAGCTTCGATATCTAAAAGAAACAATATTGCTGATTGTTTTTAATAGTACGCATATGAAGGCAGAAAATACTTCTCAATCCAACATAATTCAATTTTGTCAAAACCCAATTGATTCTTTAGAAACAATGTGTCAACCCGATTTAAAATATCAAGACAACTCATTAATTATAGCTGATATTGATAACGATGGATCAAAAGAACTTGTAAGCTTTTATTCAACCTTCGTAGACGAAAATCACGGAAATAATATAATAAATAGTCGTTGGAAACTTAAAAGTTTTGTTCAATTGTTTAAGCTTGAAACGGAGTTACCCAAATTGTATAGAAGTGATTACGATATATTTTAAATACTTTACACTCAATCTAAAATTAGCTTCCCTATTCTTAAATTACTATAAGTTTATAGTAAGAAGCAATATATAACTTATAAAGATAAATAAAATTAATAATTGATGACTACAATTCCTGTAATCATTTTAATTGTATATGCTTTTATAATTTATATGACTAATGTCTATAATAATAAACAAACGTGTAACTGTTGAAAACATCCTAAATAGTGCCAATCATATCACATTTTTGTTAAGAATGTTCTCTTATATGTGATAGAAATATGACAAAACATTGAGGTGGTATGAATTTATTTTACTTTAATAAAATATATAAATGATACGGCTCATGACTTATTAAAGAGATTAAGTGATATATGTATGTGTATGAGATATTAAATGCAATAAAAAGATTAGAACGATCATAAGCTATAATTAATTTTACATAATTTCAGGCGCGAAGTTGGGGGGAGGGGTTGTGCAACACATTTACTCATCCATCGAATCTGGAAATATACGTCTAATAGTATTATCCCTTAAATTTTCCCTGGTTGATCCATAAATATTAAATTTTAGAAGTTACTGATTAAAATACTGTAATCCTAAAATTGCGGAGGCATTAAAACATTTGAGAACAGACAAATTTTAAAATTTTATTTTTCACTCTCATGAATTAAATTAGACGAGAAATTATGAACGAATATTCAAAAAAAAGAGTGCACATGACAGATGACGAAATAGTTAAAGCTCAAGCAAGAAACTGATCTCGAGCAAGAAACTGTAAATTTTTTCGCTTATGCTAAATCGCAAATACCAAATAAATTTGTAAACTTTATTTTTTGTTGTTTCCTTTTATAATAAATTTAAACTGAACTTAAACTTTATTAAGTCCAAAAGTTTTAGGAGAAAATCCTGAAGATGAAAAATACATTTCAGAAGTGCTGTAAAAAATATAAAAGTATTAGAAATGAAAAGTTTATGCCTTGAATTTCACATCTTTTGCAATAAACAGATTTCAAATTGGTTGCGGCATTGCTGAGAAATCGCAAAATATGCTTTCTGTAAGCAAGCAAACAAGCAAACAAGCAAGTTAATCAGCAAGAAATCTCAATAACGCGACATTGTAGGGGCGACCCTAGTCAAAATCAATTTGTCACTTTTTCTTCGAGGACTTATCCAAATGGATTGAAACTTTGCATAAATATTCTAGTGCTTAAAACAAATACAAATAAAACTTCTTAAAATTTTTTGAGCAAAGAACCAAATAGAAAAAATACATTTATACTAATAGCTACTTTTTAACATTTTCGACTATAAATCTGCTAGAACTTCACAGAAATTGCTCAAACTGACAAAGCAATTTATGCGAATGTTCTCAAATCAATAAAACATGACAAAAATTTCTTTAAAATTATTTCAAAGAAACAGTAGATTAATGATGCAATTAAGTGCAAAAGTAGCTACTTTTCAACATTTTCGACTACAAATCTGCTAGAACTTCACAGAAATTGCTCAAACTGACAAATCAATTTATGCGAATGTTCTCAAATCAATAAAACATGCCAAAAATTTCTTTAACATTATTTCAAAGAAACAGTGAATTTATGATGAAACCTAAGGCAATAGTAGCTCCTTTTTAACATTTTCGACTACAAATCTGCTAGAACTTCACAGAAATTGCTCAAACTGACAAATCAATTTGTGCGAATGTTCTCAAATAAATAAAACATTGCAAAAATTTCTTTAACATTATTTCAAAGAAACAGTGAATTTATGCTGCAACCTAGTGCAAAAATAGCTACTTTTTAACATTTTCGACTAGAAATCTGCTAGAACTTCACAGAAATTGCTAAAACTGACAAAGCAATTTGTGCGAATGTTCTCAAATCAATAAAACATGACAAAAAATTTGTTTAACATTATTTCAAAGAAACAGTAAATTAATGATGCAATTAAGTGCAAAAGTAGCTACTTTTTAACATTTTCGACTACAAATCTGCTAGAACTTCACAGAAATTGCTCAAACTGACAAAGCAATTTGTGCAAATGATCTTAAATCAATAAAACATGACAAAAAATTTGTTTAACATTATTTCTAAGAAACAGTGAATTTATGATGCAACCTAGTGCAAAAATAGCTACTTTTTAACATTTTCGACTACAAATCTGCTAGAACTTCACAGAAATTGCTCAAACTGACAAAGCAATTTGTGCAAATGACCTTAAATCAATAAAACATGACAAAAAATTTGTTTAACATGATTTCAAAGATACAGTGAATTTATGTTGCAGCCTGGTGCAAAAGTAGCTACTATTTTACATTTTTGACAACAAATTTGTCAGAACTTCACAGAAATTGCTCAAACTGACAAAGCAATTTGTGCAAATTATCTTAAATCAATCAAACATGACAAAAAATATGTTTAACATTATTTCAAAGAAACAGTAAATTAATGATACAATTAAGTGCAAAAGTAGCTACTTTTTAACATTTTCGACTACAAATCTGCTAGAACTTCACAGAAATTGCTAAAACTGACAAAGCAATTTGTGCGAATGTTCTGAAATCAATAAAACATGACAAAAAATTTGTTTAACATGATTTCAAAGATACAGTGAATTTATGATGCAACCTAGGGCAATAGTTGCTACTTTTTAACATTTTCGACTACAAATCTGCTAGAACTTCACAGAAATTGCTCAAACTGACAAAGCAATTTGTGCGAATGTTCTTAAATCAATAAAACATGAAAAAAATTTGTTTAACATGATTTCAAAGAAACAGTAAATTAATGATGCAATTAAGTGCAAAAGTAGCTACTTTTTAACATTTTCGACTACAAATCTGCTAGAACTTCACAGAAATTGCTAAAACTGACAAAGCAATTTGTGCAAATGATCTCAAATCAATAAAACATGACAAAAAATTTGTTTAACATTATTTCAAAGAAACAGTAAATTAATGATGCAATTAAGTGCAAAAGTAGCTACTTTTTAACATTTTCGACTACAAATCTGCTAGAACTTCACAGAAATTGCTAAAACTGACAAAGCAATTTGTGCGAATGTTCTCAAATCAATAAAACATGACAAAAAATTTGTTTAACATTATTTCAAAGAAACAGTAAATTAATGATGCAATTAAGTGCAAAAGTAGCTAATTTTTAACATTTTCGACTACCAATCTGCTAGAACTTCACAGAAATTGTTAAAACTGACAAAGCAATTTGTGCGAATGTTCTCAAATCAATAAAACATGACAAAAAATTTGTTAAACATTATTTCAAAGAAACAGTAAATTAATGATGCAATCCCTAGCGAGACTAACTAGCAAATTGCTAGTCTTTCTATTTTACTACTTGCAATTTACTAGTAATTATTAAAACAACTTACTGTTAGAAAATTACACTCGCTATTTACTAGCAAATTACTAGCAAATTACCATGTAAAATGTTTGATCAAATCTTCTTAAGTTCGAATCCTAAGAAAAATCATCAAAAAAAGATTTTTTTGCGTCATAAAAAATTTTGTTCTAAATTTGGCATTTGCCATATACTTCACAAGAGCGCGCAGAAATCACCTTTATAAGGTCGATCCAAATTTGTATGTGACTTTCAAATAATTATTTATCTTCCTCAGGTTTGCGTGCGAGTCATGGGTGTTCATCGGTATTCGACTTAATTAAATTAAGTCTTTTATTTTTTTCATAGTGTTAGTGTACTTTAATTAACTTTAATTAAGTACACACTAATACTTTTACAAAAATTTACACAAATAAAAAAAATCAAAAGAACACGTGGAAATCAACGGTTATATTCATTTAATTTTTTTAAAAATTTGCTAGTAAATTACTAGTTAAATTGTAAGCGAATTGACTAGTCAATTAGCAAGTGAAAATGCGGGTCTTTGGCGATGATTTGAACTTGGATTTTGACTAGTAAATAGCAAGTAGCAAATGGAAAGTTATCCAGTAAATTACTAGGAAATTACTAGTAAATTTCTGCTAGGGAATTAAGTGCAAAAGTAGCTACTTTTTAACATTTTCGACTACAAATCTGCTAGAACTTCACAGAAATTGCTAAAACTGACAAAGCAATTTGTGCAAATGTTCTCAAATCAATAAAACATGACAAAAAATTTGTTTAACATTATTTCAAAGAAACAGTAAATTAATGATGCAATTAAGTGCAAAAGTAGCTACTTTTTAACATTTTCGACTACAAATCTGCTAGAACTTCACAGAAATTGCTAAAACTGACAAAGCAATTTGTGCGAATGTTCTCAAATCAATAAAACATGACAAAAAATTTGTTTAACATTATTTCAAAGAAACAGTAAATTAATGATGCAATTAAGTGCAAAAGTAGCTAATTTTTAACATTTTCGACAAGAAATCTGCTAGAACTTCACAGAAATTGCTAAAACTGACAAAGCAATTTGTGCGAATGTTTTCAAATCAATAAAACATGACAAAAAAATTGTTTAACATGATTTCAAAGAAACAGTAAATTAATGATGCAATTAAGAGCAAAAGTAGCTACTTTTTAACATTTTCGACTACAAATCTGCTAGAACTTCACAGAAATTGTTAAAACTGACAAAGCAATTTGTGCGAATGTTCTCAATTAAATAAAACATGGCAAAAATTTCTTTAACATTATTTCAAAGAAACAGTGAATTTATGCTGCAACCTAGTGCAAAAATAGCTACTTTTTAACATTTTCGACTAGAAATCTGCTAGAACTTCACAGAAATTGCTAAAACTGACAAAGCAATTTGTGCGAATGTTCTCAAATCAATAAAACATGACAAATAATTTGTTTAACATTATTTCAAAGAAACAGTGAATTTATGTTGCAGCCTGGTGCAAAAGTAGCTACTATTTTACATTTTTGACAACAAATTTGTCAGAACTTCACAGAAATTGCTCAAACTGACAAAGCAATTTGTGCAAATTATCTAAAATCAATCAAACATGACAAAAAATATGTTTAACATTATTTCAAAGAAACAGTAAA